TCTCCTACCCCTCCCTCCTCCTCCCTGCTCCTGTCCTGTTTCATTTCCTTCCTCGCACTTCATGGCCTTCATCCCCCCCCTGTCCCACTCTTTCTCTCAGTCTCAGTCGGGCCCGGGGCCCTACCCGGAAGCCTGGGCGACCCGGCGAAACTTTAAAAATTCCAAAGTCTCAAGGTCTCAAAGTTTCAAAGTTTCCAAAGATTTCAAACAGCTCGCGGCTGCCATGGTACCGTCCTCTGCTGCTGATGTCGAAGCCGAAGCCCCTGCGGCGGCTACCGAGTCTCTGCCCTCTGTTCCTATCAGCGCTGCCATGCCCGCCGCCGAAGCTGCTGAGAATGCCATGGCGATCAATGCCGCTGCTGCTAGTGCCACCATGGCTATTGAGACTGCTACCCCTTCAACAGCCCCGGTCATGGAAGCTGCTGGTGAAAATGCAGCTGTCCCCGTCCCTGATGCAGCTTCTGCTGATCCCACGGTAACAGAAAAGGGTGAAGTAACTATGCAGGAGCAACCTCCACCAAGGCATCAGAAGGGCCCTACCATTTGCGTGCACAACAGAATCCTGGCACAGTGCAAGGAGTGCGGAGGCTCGGGCATTTGTTGTCACAAGAAGCGACGGTCGTTGTGCAAAGAGTGTGGAGGTTCAAGCATTTGCGTGCATAACAGGCAGAAATCTCGTTGTAAGGAATGCGGAGGTGCCAGCTTTTGTGTGCATGGCAGGATCAAGTCGAGGTGTAAGGAGTGTGATGGAACTAGTATATGTGAGCACAAGCGAAGAAAGTCGCGATGCAAGGAATGCAAGGGTACAGGGATCTGCGAACATAACAAACAGAGATCGAGATGTAAAGACTGTGGGGGGAGCAGCATATGCAGCCATGGACGAGTCCGATACCAATGTAAGGATTGTGGAGGGAAAGCGATTTGTGAGCACAAGAGGATGCGGACGAGATGCAAGGAGTGCAAGGGTGCGAGCATATGCCAGCATGATAAAGTCAGATACCGATGTAAGGAATGCAAAGCAGCTTCAATGTGCGAGCACGGAAAAGTGCCGGCTGAGTGCAAGGAGTGCGTTGTGGGGACGGCCTGAATGTCGAGCTTATACTCTTGCATTGCGGTAACCCATGTCGTTCTCATCAGCTCTTTGCATCAGATAACGATGATGATCCAGGAACAATACATTCAAACTATGGATTCAATGTTGTGCATTGCGAGGAAGAAAGAAAATCCTCGTCCAATCGCCTTGGTTTGAGAGTGATTCATGGGGTGTGTTTTACTCCCCATTCTCTGTAGTAATCGTAATATTGGAGTTTTGATAACAACGATAACAATACATCAAATCTACTTTTTACAACGACCAAGGTCGCAAGAAAACAGCTCTGTGTAGTTTGGTTTGTTCCGCGTTAAAGACACTAATGGAAGCCGAGATACAACATTGCAGAATTGCATCATGGGAATCAATTCCAAATCGCTTTCCAATTACATGCTCCTCAATAGGTAGCAGTTACTTTCCTTTGCCCACACATGATACACCTGAACCCACAATGAGTTGCCAAGCACCTTTCCTTGATTCCTCCCTGACCTCGATCTTTGTGCTTGAGGGAGAGATGCCGGGTTTAACTGTCCTGCTTTTTGCATCAAAGCAGCTCTTTCGGTTTTCTACACACAAGTCCAGTCAGCAAGGGTTGAGGGACAAGAAGAAGATTACTTTCTTGTAGTTCAGTTCTAACAAATGGCTGCGAAACTGCAAAGTTTGATGAATCTTGAGTTGTGCCGCTAGCTCGGCTTGAAGATCAAACTTGCGAAGACGTGAGCTTGAATGAAAAGAGTGTGTTGAGTTGATGGAATCCGCACTGAGCTGATTGCGCATATGACTGTTCACAGTGGACCTTGTCGTCTCTGTGTCAACTGTCGCCCCCATCACCTTGCTTGCCTGTGTTCTCTGCCCTGTCTGGACTTGTTCGTGCTTAGCAGTCGTAAGCGCATCATAGGCAGGAATGCTGTCAGACTTGTTGTACTGTACATACATTTGTTCTTGCATCGATGTCAATCACCACGGTGAATGGGGCAAAGGAATTAAACTGAGTGAAATGTTAGAGGGCAGAAAAGATGTTGTTCGAGCAGGACTGAGGGAGACGGGGAGAGGAGGAAGAGGAGGAAGAGGAGGAAGAGGAGGAAGAGGAGGAAGACGAGGAAGATGATCTCACTTGGTAACGACGCCATAGGAATGTCAGCGCATAATCGGTATGAAGGGTTCTATCACGGTATCTCGGTAAAAAGGCAGCACATGTTTATTAAGAGAAGATATAGCTTTTGACAGAAAGGCAGCAGGTAATGTTGGTTGGAGCCGACGGGGAGATGCGCAATGTCCTGGAACGAAAGGGATAAAGAGCTGAGCTGAGCAGAGCAGGGCAGAGCAGGGCAGGGCAGAGCAGAGCAGAGCAGAGCAGGGCAGAGCAGGGCAGGGCAGGGCAGAGCAGGGCAGGGCAGGGCAGAGCAGAGCAGAGCAGGGCAGGGCAGAGCAGAGCAGAGCAGAGCAGGGCAGAGCAGAGCAGGGCAGGGCAGGGCAGAGCAGAGCACAGCACAGCAGAACAGAGCAGAGCATGCCTGATACTTTTGGAAGGAGATGTAACCGAAGCATGCCACATCCGACCATGAACTCAAGTATCCTCTTCTTCCTCGTATTCGCTCTTAGGGTCGTGCTGGGCTTCTCCTCGACCCCGTCGCAAGCGCTTCGCTCCCAGCCCTTGCCCAAGGTCACCTGATGCCTCCGAGCACTCGACGGTTGATGACGAGGAAGCAGGTGGCTCCGCAGAGCTTTCAAGTGGTTTTGTCAACAAGTGTCGATGAAGGGCGAGCATGTCCGATCGTCATCAACATCGTGCGACCCTCTGCTGTTCCTCGCTGCTGCTGACAGCATGGCGGAACAGACTCGCTCCATGGCGCCTCAGTGTGCCGACGAGTTCTGGAGCATGGTAAGACAAGGTCAAAGATCATTGCAAGACAGCGCCTTCTATTTTGTGAGGCCGGGTGAGCGGAGCTGGGGGAGGGAGAGGTGGAGGGTGAAGACTCGTGGTAGGTGTCTTTGTGGAGTTCGGGCTGGGGAGATTCTCAGATCGGGCTGACTTCCATCCCATGCGGGGAGGGACAGGAGAGCAGAAGAACCTGAGAGGTTCTGTCTCGTTTGCAACGGTAGGGAGGGAGCGAGGAAGGAGGCTGCGGGGCTGAGGGGACGAGCAGGAGCGAGGGAACGTTTCTTCCTCCCGGTTGGTGATCAACTTGAAGTCAAACCCGCACTTTGACGAGCTGGGCTACTTGCCCTTCGGAAAGGCAAGTGGGAGGAGTGGAGAAGAGAGGAGAGGAGGAGGCAGGAGGAAGAGGAGGGAGGAGGAGGAGGGAGGGGAGAGGAGCGGAGAGGAGGGAAGAGACGATGGAAGGGGGCAGAGAGAAAGAGGAGGGGAAGGAAGGTGGCAGGAGCTCAGAGAGAATGGATCAGGTAGTTTCGGGGATGGAGACGTTGGATGAGATTCATCAACCGAATGTTGGAGACTTTTCTGTCTCAGATGTCGCATACTTGTACAACCAGAAAGGTACGACCTCTCCCCTTCTCTTTCACGCTCTGCTCTGCTCGACTCTGTTGTTCCTCCTCTCCTATCATCTCTTCCTTTGTTCTCTCCCCCCCCTCGTCTTACTCATCCTACAGGAATCTCGTGGCTACGAGCGATGGACGCGGAGGTCTCCACCATTATCAACGTCTCTGCCGTCTTCCAGGGCTCCAGCAGCTTCCACCCTCCCGTCTGCGGGAGCTCCAGCGAGAACGGCCTCCTCCTCACGCTCCGCAAGGTGAAGGGAAAGCGAGGAGGGCGAGACAGCTGCTGACGGTGCGCAGACGTTGGGAGAGGTTGAGGCATGGGCGGGAGGGTCGGTAGCTGTTGTGCTCCTGCTCTCCCTGCTCGGCAGTGGAGTGCTCGTGTACGTGTGCTGCTTCCTGCGGCGATACCAGAAGATCAAGCGGATGATCCGCTACTCCCGCGAGCTCGAGGTGACATAAAGGAAGAGGGAGGGAGGAGGAGGAGGATAGGAGAGGGAAGGAGGGAGGGAGGGAGGGAGGGAGGAGGGAGGGAGGGAGGGAAACAGAAACGGGAATGTGAAGGGCTTTGCGAGGAGGAGAGGCCGAGCGAGGCGAGCAGGGGGCGAGGGCGACAGGGTCGGTGGGAGCGAGAGGGGAGCAGAGCAGGAGGAGTCGGGGGCATTCTCAGCTGAGAGGAGAGCAGGAATCAGGGGTGGAGATGGTGTACGAGGACGACAATACCAACCATGAAAGGGAGCGAACGTCGTCCGTTCCCATCAACTCAGCCGAGTATGAGAGGTGATAGGCAGGCACGCCCCCCTCCCCCCCACCCTCCCATGCCGTTCCCCTTTACTCCCCCGCCCTGCTTTCTCCAACCTCACCTCCTCGCTCCCACTCTTCGTTTCCTCGCTATGCCCCATCCTTCTCGTCCTCCCTCTTCATCTTGTCACTGCTCAGTATCTGACGGCAGGCGATTGAACGAGCCGCTGAAGCCAGATGGCGGATGACCTCAGGAGAGGCAAGACAGGACATGGAACTCCTTTGGTAGAGGTCGAGGAGGGGAAGGGAGGAGGGGGGGGAGAGGGAGAGAGTAAGAGTAAGAAGGGTAAGAGTATGAGTAAGACGACGACGACAGAAAAGCAAGGGAGGGTAGGAAGGAGCAAGTATAAGAGCTACTCGGCTGGCATTCAGCGATTTCATCCTTGTTCTTTCTCTCACACTCGCACACATATCTTGCAGCCAGGAGGAGCAACAGTTGGGTCTTTGCACTGCTTGCAGTTGAACTGGCTCTGCTCCTCCTTGTCAGCTCATCACAAGGAAGCAGCGGCTCCTCACCACACACGAAGTCTCCAAGTTGCCGTTCAGAGGGTTGATGGACTCCAGTGGCACGAAGCCGGCGACGCCTGTGAGCTAGTCAGGAGGGAGCAGAGGAAGGGGAGGAGGGACAGGAGCAGTCGTCCGTGCAGACAGGATTGAAGGGTTCCTGTAAGCATGCTGCCAGTACCGTTAGAAGAAGACGATTCTTCCCTTCCGGATCCCCTTCGCCACCCCATCCTCCTCCCCATCCTTTTCTTTCTCCTCCTCCTCCTCTCCTTCCTCATCAATCCCCGCCATCCTTGCTCGTACCAGTCACGGGGATAATGTTCTCATCGCAGCGAGCCGTGGTTGGCGTCCCAGAGTCTGTCCCCTCCTCTGTACAACATTTGCATCCTGCAGAAACTCATGGTTAGTGATCACCTGCGCCTGCCTCTTGCCGCAAACACCACCATCATCACTATCATGCTCTCCTCCTCCTCCTCCTCCTCCTCCTTGTCTTCCTCCTCCACCCACTACTACTTACTGGGGATATGGCAGCATTTGTCGACTAACGACGCGCTGCTCCACACGGTGTTGCACGTGAAGAGCTTGCCGAGCTCCTGCTCCTCTTCACTGCCCTCCCCTCCTCCATCCCATCTCCTCACCGCCCACGACAGTCCCTGCCCATCAACGACCGGGTAGCGCCGGTACTCCTGCATGGCCGTCAACGGTGGCAGCAGCAGCGCTGGGCGGCTCAACAGTCTGGCAGATGGCATTGCGAAGGTAGGGGACGACGCAAACTCGGTCCCCTGCGAGCTCCTTGAGTGAAATTCGTGTAACTCAGATCTCACCAGGTTGGATGACGCAGTCTGGGCCCAGCTCCTGTCCAGGAGCCAGCAGAGCCAGGCATGGCGCGGCGAGTTGAGGGTTGACATCCAAGATCTGCAGGAAGAGAAGTCAGGGAGGACGAAAGAAAAAGGAAGCAGAAGGAGAGGGGAGGGGAGGGGAGGGGAGGGGGAGCGACAACGGAAGGAGAAGGCGAGGGGAGGGGAGGGAAGATGCCGGCCATTGAGATGAATAAGAAAGGAAGGGCGTACCCGCTGCCAGGAGGTCCCGTATCTGGTGGCGATGGAGTAGAGAGTCTCCCCGCACTTGTCGGGATGAATGTCCCACTGGCAGGTGAGGCAGACGCCGTTCTCCATACAGCTGCCGGGCCCTCACCGTCAGGTGCTGCAGCTGCAGACAGACGAGACAGCACCTGGAGTCGTACTCGACACAGACCTGACCCAAGTCAAGGAAGTAGCGGCACGTGGCGTCTCCCCTACAGTCTCCATCCGTCAAGCAGCTCTCGTACTGCATCTGACGGTAGCAGTTGGGCAGGCAGCCTCCTCTGACAACGTGGTGCCTGCCCCACATGTGAATAAGGCAGAGCTCTCGAGCGATCAAAACGCACCGGCCGATGGAGATGGTCAACCCTGGAACGATGTCGGACGGCTCCAAGAGATGCGCATTGAAAGCAAAGAGCTCCTGTCAACGGAAGGTCAAACTCGACGTCGGCTGCCTTTGCTGCTCTGCAAACCTGCCAGGTCAACATGAACCTGCTTGCGATAGAGGCCAACGAGTCGCCTTCCAGCACCTAAGTAAAACAAGCTAGTCACCCTCTATCATCTTCGACTCTCGTACACACCAGGTAGCGACAAGATCCCGCCTCAAACCTCCGATAGTAGGAGTCAAGAGGAGACGGCTGCATCTCCTGTGTCTTACAGCTGAGGAAAAAAGCGAGAGGCCAGCACTCTTACCTGGACAAGTTGACCTTGGAAGTACACGTAATGATCTTCCTCTGTTACAACTTGCGAGACCTATTCCGTAGAGTCAACAAAGGGACGTTTCGCAAATGCGCACCTTAGAAGGCTCAGGCGTTGGTGGGCGTGTGGTGCCCAACGCCAAAGTTAAGAAAGTCCCCTGCAGCCGTCAACGAGCAGCTTCGGACAGATCGGACCCTGCTCTCACCTTTCTGCAAGGATAAGAAGTCGTTGTGGTGCCGCAAGTGTTCTCCTCAACCTGAATGTAATACTTCCCTACAAGCAAAGAAAATCATCGTCGAATCAAAACGCCCTCCAAGAATACCCAGCAGAACCCTCTGCCCGAAGAATGTGTTGATAACCATGTCTACATTTCCTGGCAACAACCAATCAGCATCTCATCTGAACTTGGCGAAAAGAGGCATCAATCCATTCATGCATTTGATCTCATTCCAAACCTGAAGTTTCATTCGAAACGAAAGAAAACTCGAAGTTGAAGTCGCTGGGTCTGAATCACTCGTTATGTGCCAAATGCAATCTTCACATCCAAGTTGATCACCCGGGCGGCTGATTGAAGGAGCTCGTTATCGACTGCCCGGCAAGCGATGACGTTGAGGCGCCAGGCTCATTCGTTGTTACCATCCTCCCTTGGATATTTCAGCAACCTTCAGCTTGCGACATAAAGTATCATGGTACCTGTTGTATTGTGAAACATGATCACGCTTGCGTCCGAAAGTGGCTTCCCGTCCTGCCCAGTGACAGGTATGCATTGCCCTGTAGTGAAGTTCCCGTAAATCTGCGTTCGACTACTTCAGTAGCAGGAGAAGCACTCAGTCGAAAGTCTACTGTCGCTGCGATGGGATTTCGAGAAACTCCGACTGTGTCAAACACGCACTTTCCAACGATGCCTTGCCACACTCCGTTGATCTTCTGACAAGGTAGGCAAAGCCCCAGTTTGAAGCAGCACCCACTGTACTTCTCGCAACCATTCTTACCGAGTGTTGGGTCAAAGCGAGTTGAGCAGTACTCTCCTCTAACGCTTAGAGCCCACAAGGAGCCCACTAGAGCACAAAGTGACGCCCGAGACATCGTGAAGCCGGTCATTGTCTTGTCTCACATCAACGACATAGGCTTGACAACCTGCTGACCACGTCATCCTAAGAGTCCATCTTGTGCGAGCGCTTCCTCATATACTCATATCTCAGTTCCTGTTCACTCCCTGTCCTCTCTAGCTCTCTTCTTCTACGTCCCCTCCTCTCACCATTCGAACCCACTCCCCATGGCGAGCTCTGATAACCCAGGCGGTTGGGTTTTCGAAGGGGGTAGGGTCCTCATTGAGTCTATGCACATGGGGTACGTGGATAATCGAATGGAGGGGTACTTGTGGTCAAATTTGACAGCTCGATGAGGTAGGGGGCCCGGGGGTGGGCGGCAGGAGAGTCACTAGTATCCCGGCGACACAATTTTCAAGTTTCCGATCCGAGTCACTCAGTACCGGCCCGGACTCGCCGCCGCGGGCGGCCGCCCGGTCACTCGGCCCCTCGGACGGCCCGCCGCGCAGCCGCCCGGCCGTTCGGATAGAGCGGCCACCTCCCCCCCCCTCCGGCCGGGCCGGGCCACTACGGGAGTTAAAAACCAGTACGAAGACAATCAAGACTGCTGGGCTGAAGTAGAGTTCATCTAATAAAGCTGCTCATCAGATATAAACACATTATAAACACACTACCAAGATTTTCAACTTATTCAAACATCTATATTTTAATATATATATAAATATTAAATATATATAACTACGAGACCTTTACTGGTCATTTTACTAGTCGAAAGTACTCACCCCCACCCCCCAATATATCGATGCCTTTCTTGGTGAAAGTGGGGTGAAAGGGTGCAGCGGAGGTTCATTATTATCACACTGCCTATTCCCCATGTGACCTAGCTATGTTATCCCTACCCCCCCCCCCTATCCCTCTTTTAAAAACAGCTATCCCTCCCTCCCTCCCTCCCTCCTCGCTCCCCTCCTTCCATCATCCGTTCTCGTGCCCTCATGGACCTCCTTGGACCCTTCTGCCCTCGATGCAGTAACCCCGCCGTTGACGACCAAGGCAGCTCCTGCATTTTCTGTCTCGACTACTCTGTCGACCTGCTCTCTTCCCTGTCTGAGCCTGATCTCGACCCCTCCCTTGCAGACTGCGACGTCATCCTCCCGCAAGAGCTCAGCGCTGAGAAGCGATCGAGCCGCCGGTGGAGCCCCGACGCGAGGGAGAAGCACAGCCTTGCCTGCGCGGGCAAGCCCCGGCTGGACACGCAAGAGAAGATCGACATAATCCGGCTCTACTACCAGTCGCCCTGCTCGACTAAGGGCAGGCGCTCCTTCAACCAGTGGACCATCGCCAGAGCCTACGGGAAGAGCCGGGCAGCCATCAGCAAGATACTCAAGCCCGACAACGCGCTCCAGGTACTGTCGTCGGCGGAGGCGAGAAGCTTGAACGTGACGGAGCGATGGGCCATCACTCGGAGCATACAGGAGGAGCGGAGGAGGAAGGACGAGGGGAAGGCGCTGTCCAAGCAGCATACAGACGAGCCATAGCGTGCTGACGGTGTACAAGGCTGCTGACTCTACTAGTTGATACTGCTTTGATCACGCCGACTGATGTGTCATGCTACGGCGTTTGCCCCTCAAGGCTCTGAGAGTCCGACATCGACATCTGATTATCATCAATGATCGGCGATGATCCGACAAATCGTGAGCCCGGGGCGGTCTCACTCAGGCTGGCCTATATGACTGCCCTGCTCCTACAGGCTGGCGACATACGGCGCCGTAAGACCTTTCCTCTTCACCTCGGACGGAGACATTCATCGTCCTTGAGGGCACTCGGGGCCTCAGCGGGCCACGGGCCCTGCCTGCGCGGTATGGCCCGACCGACGGTGATAGCGTAGTGGGAGTTTCAAGGATCGGATAACGATTGTCGTCAGCTTTGCTTCTTCTCTACTTAAAGCTACTCATCATTTGTACACGCATACAGCCTATCCCCAGTACTAGTGTGTCATCCCTGATGATGAGCAAGATTTCAACTCTTCTCTGAACACGACGAGAATGATCAGGCCACCTGGTTTCCCATGAGATATATATTTTATATATTTGTTAAACTTAAGTTTATATATTTTTATATATTATAACATATATAATACATTTTAATATAAGTTGGCACTGTCCAAGTCCCATGTAAGTTCACTTGGGGTTTCTGGTCATTTTTTGTAGTCGAAAGTACTCACCCCCACCCCCCAATATATCGATGCCTTTCTTGGTGAAAGTGGGGTGAAAGGGTGCAGCGGAGGTTCCCTCTATTCCCCATGTGACCTAGCTATGTTATCCCTACCCCCCCCCCCCTATCCCTCTTTTAAAAACAGCTATCCCTCCCTCCCTCCCTCCCTCCTCGCTCCCCTCCTTCCATCATCCGTTCTCGTGCCCTCATGGACCTCCTTGGACCCTTCTGCCCTCGATGCAGTAACCCCGCCGTTGACGACCAAGGCAGCTCCTGCATTTTCTGTCTCGACTACTCTGTCGACCTGCTCTCTTCCCTGTCTGAGCCTGATCTTGACCCCTCCCTTGCAGACTGCGACGTCATCCTCCCGCAAGAGCTCAGCGCTGAGAAGCGATCGAGCCGCCGGTGGAGCCCCGACGCGAGGGAGAAGCACAGCCTTGCCTGCGCGGGCAAGCCCCGGCTGGACACGCAAGAGAAGATCGACATAATCCGGCTCTACTACCAGTCGCCCTGCTCGACTAAGGGCAGGCGCTCCTTCAACCAGTGGACCATCGCCAGAGCCTACGGGAAGAGCCGGGCAGCCATCAGCAAGATACTCAAGCCCGACAACGCGCTCCAGGTACTGTCGTCGGCGGAGGCGAGAAGCTTGAACGTGACGGAGCGATGGGCCATCACTCGGAGCATACAGGAGGAGCGGAGGAGGAAAGACGAGGGGAAGGCGCTGTCCAAGCAGCATACAAAAGAGCAGGCACCTCGTCAGCTAGAAGGGTCCGTTCTGTCTTGATGGCATGCTCCATGCCACCTTAGTCTAGCATCGCTTGTAAAGTAAACAATACTGTACTACACCTTTGTGTCGGATCCAGAGGGGATCCCTTCAACCAGCATTCACTGGAGCCTGAGTGACGTTTACAACTTTTTGGGCCCCCGGGCGTGACATGAAGGGGAGAAAGACCATCGCCAACCGTTTCACGGTTCCGGACTTGAAGTCTTCTTCTTGACAAAGAAGAAAGCCTGCGCGTTGAAGCATGCGGCAGTGCAGTGCGGCATCCGATGATCGATGGCAGTCTTGTGGACAAGTCCGGAAACACCGACACCCAGTGACTCAATCACTGAGAGTCGGAGCCTCCGACTTAGAGTCAGCGGCCGTGCCCCGGGCCGAACTTCGGAACGGCCCGGCGGGGCCGGGCCGCGCGGCGGCCGGGCCCCCGTAGTCCGACTCGGCGCAACCGGCGTCAGTCACGGTCCCTCCCTGCCCTACGCTGCCATCATCGCGGGGGCATTTCGGTATGCGTCTCATTCAATGATTCCTGGGGCCCGGGGATCGGACAGCCGTCCGACCGTCGGCAGGAATAGGTTTGGTTCTCGCTGTCTTTTCTCTTCTCGCCGTTTGGCCTGTGCGACAGTGTCAGGGTCAAGCCTCCTCGCTCTCGCCTCCGGGGCCTGATATTTTTTAACTTAACCTTGAGTAAAGTTCACTGACCGTACGGTACTGTTAGAGGCGCGCGCAGATGACTCTGAGGAGGACCGGGGGTAGTAATTTGAGTAAAAACCTTTCCTCCCGTCTGGCAGGAATGGGGAGGACGGATCTTTAAAAACCTGTTCCTCTTCGCTCAGCTATCAGCAACAACAGACTCTAGCACCTCTTTCCCTCTGGTCCTTCCTCTCTCCTTCCTCTCTCCTTCCTCTTCCAGTTCGCCCTTCTCCTCCTTCTCGTCACCGTCGCTGCCATTCTCGCCTTGAGTGCCTCGCGCACTGAAGCCAGCATTTTCCGTCTTCAACGCATCTCACTCGCAGTTTTTCTTCCCTTCTTTCAAATTTTAGCTGTGGCAACTCAACAACCAACCATGGCGACTTCCGCTGATTTTGACCTTCTGGCTACCGACGGCCATGCGCGTTTGGGAAGGATTAAAGCAAGTCTCAACACGCCTGCAGTACTGCTGTACACACGGCGAGGGTTTCCTCCTCCTCTTACCCCCCGAGAGGTCAAATCCTTGTATCAGTCAGGAGCCAGTCCCTCCACCTTCGCCTTTTTCATGTCTGCTGCTGACTTCTACGACGATCCTGGCAGCGGCGTCCTGTCGTCCTTTCGGGGAGTGCGAGAGTTTTGTGGTCTGCAGGACCAGAAAGAAATGATAGTCGTAGGAAACAAGGATGCGGTGAATCAGCAGTTTGGCATGCCGTCATCGGACACCTGGGTAACGCTACAGACTTCAGCAGGGCAGAAGAAGGTTGCGAATGAGGACTACATCAAGTTACTGTCCGCCATGCAACCGGACATTGCTGTGTCTCTTGTAGACGAGGTGCAGGTGAACGAAGGCTTCCTTCTTGCAGGAGGTCTTACATTCCTTGCTAGATGGAAAATTCAGACAAGCGCATCAAGAAAAGCGTCGACCGTACGCTGAAGTGGCTGGATGAATACCTGGCGGAGAGGAAAGGAGGAAATGTAGCGGAGAGTGTGACAATATTTGCTGCTGTTGTTGGAGGCACTAGCCACCGAGAACGAGAAAGATACGCAAGAGGTGGGAAACATGACATCTGATCCTTCCTGACTCTTATGGTGCGACTAGAGCTGGCGAAGAGAGAGGTTGGGGGGTATGCCTTCACCGGCTTCGGAACGGGGGAGAGCGAAGAGGAGCGGGAGGCTTTTGTGCGGATGTCGCTAGAGCATCTTGACCAGCACAAGCCTAGGATGATGTCAGGGCTGGGATCGCCCGACGAGGTGAGAATATTCTCTGCCTCCTGTGATTGTTCATGAGGGCCTGCAAGATTCTTTGGAGCGTGAAGATGGGGATGGACGTGCTGGAGTCAGCGTACCCTTGGTTTCTCAGCTCACAGGGGTTGGCCATCAGTTTTCCGGTTTCCTATGAGGGTGATCAGCCAAGTGGCCAGCACTTGTCCTGACTTGTTGTCAGGGATCATGAAGTACGCAGACGAAGAAGAGATGGAGGCTGAAAGCTCCCTGATGAATGGCAAGATCAATCTGTGGGATACAGACTACTGCAAGAACACAGATCCCATAACCAAGGTTGGTCCTTGATGGCCCACTGGATGTGATGGATGTTTTGTTGCCCGACTTTGTACTCTCAGAGTTTTTTTGGTGTTTCTCTGTTTGACTTTCTAATTGAATTCTCAGGGTTGCTCTTGTTTTGCATGCGCCAAGTACTCACGAGCTTACATCCACCACCTGCTGAAGACAAACGAGATGCTAGCAGAGGCGAGACCGTTTTTCTCTGTCAAGCACCGCATGACATCTCAACAGGTGTTTCTAAGCTGTCACAACCAACACTGCCTCTTGATCTTCATGGAATCTGTCCGCCAATCCATTGCCGATCAATCCTTTGAGAAATTCTGCACCGCGTTCAGGAAGGCTAGGAAGGCTCCATCGCGATTTTTGCAGGGATAGGATAAATTACCATCTGTGCCTCGTGAGTAGAGGGGAGATGAGCAGCAATGAAATCACCTGGTAGATGAAGATATGACGTGATTCAAGGTCAAGAGCCCACCTGTCCTAGCGTTTCTTTCGTTTCTTCTTTGCCTTTCTTCTCTTCTGGGTCTTCTTGATCTTCTTCAGTTGTTGCTGCCGACAATAGAGGACGGAAGACGAGTCGGGTCAAGGTCATCTCAAGACAAGTCACGGCATTACCATGATTCCTCTCTTTCCTTCGCCTCGCGTCTCCTTGTCTTCTCTCGCTGTCCCTCCTACAGCGGGGCTGTCAGTCATGAACTCTATCCAGCTGCTGCTATTGGAGGTGCCCCCCCCCTCCACCGGCGCGCAGGAGTCTGCCTGGTCCTGCAGAGCTTCGAAGGAGTTTCGGCTGACGTCTCGCCTCTGCTCCTTCACGGCTTTCATGCTGTACTTGACGTACTTGGACTGCCTGCCCCCTTCGCTCGCTCGCCCTGCTTCTGAAGGCTGGTAGATCCAAGCCACTCGCCCAGCAAGCTCATGACAGATGTCAACAGAGCAGGTGCACCAGCTGTAAGAAGACGACTTGGAGGAGAGGTAGATGTCATGCTCCAGGTGCGTGAAGTACCGCTGGCTGCCCGGCAACCTGATGTCCACACAACAGACGGAGTGCGACAGCCCGTCCTCAGGAAAGCAATGCTTCGTTAGCGAGCTACGCATATCCATGGTCCCGCATTGCCGCTTCTTGTCTGGCCTCCTCGCGTTGACAGTCGTGGACAAGGCGAGGAGTGTGAGAGAGCAAACAGAGGCAATGAGCTTGAGACCAATATTCCTCATCATCTCAGTAAGACCGTCCTCCTGTCTTCTCCATCATCTCAGTAAGACCGTCCTCCTGTCTTCTCCATCATCTCAGTAAGACCGTCCTCCTGTCTTCTCCATCATCTCAGTAAGACCGTCCTCCTGTCTTCTCCATCATCTCAGTAAGACCGTCCTCCTGTCTTCTCCATCATCTCAGTAAGACCGTCCTCCTGTCTTCTCCATCATATCAGTAAGACCGTCCTCCTGTCTTCTCCATCATCTCAGTAAGACCGTCCTCCTGTCTTCTCCATCATCTCAGTAAGACCGTCCTCCTGTCTTCTCCATCATCTCAGTAAGACCGTCCTCCTGTCTTCTCCATCATCTCAGTAAGACCGTCCTCCTGTCTTCTCCATCATATCAGTAAGACCGTCCTCCTGTCTTCTCCATCATCTCAGTAAGACCGTCCTCCTGTCTTCTCCATCATCTCAGTAAGACCGTCCTCCTGTCTTCTCCATCATCTCAGTAAGACCGTCCTCCTGTCTTCTCCATCATCTCAGTAAGACCGTCCTCCTGTCTTCTCCATCATCTCAGTAAGACCGTCCTCCTGTCTTCTCCATCATCTCAGTGAGAGCCATCCTCTCTCGTGTCTGACACTGCCATCACCGGGCGCAACTTTCCGATTCGTGTTACCCCACCCCATCTTGTACCTTCATACCACCCCACCCACCTGGGACTCATCGCCACTTGTTAAAATTAAAATCAGGTGGATTTTCCGGAGAGAGATGAGTGGGGAGAAGCGAGGATGACGAGGATGACGAGCAGGAGAGAGGTGGAGGGGAAGAGGGGAGTATCAGGGAGTGAGAGGGAGAGGGGAAGCAGAAGAGCTTCCTGACGACTAGCAGTTGGAGAGAGTTGAGTACACAGAGCGATCTATTGAAGCACAAAAAGGAAAAATAAAACTTCTCATCATTATCATCATACGGAAGAATACACATGACGGCCATTGAGCGGCTGTGCAGGGCGAGCATTTGCTCCTTCCAGGCTCCGGATCACCTGCAAGTCCTTGGAATAGACGTAGATAGGATTCCTCAGCAGGACCCACTGCACGCCCTCTGCATGGAGAAATCAGGGGAGACAGCACGAGCAGTGACATGCTCAAACCTGAACAAGGAGGAGTCGTAAAGGACCCCGAGTAGGTGAGGTAGTTCTTGAAGTTGGGGACGAAGGAGAAGGCATCGGCTCCTCTGTGAGTCAGCGATCCTATCATCACGGTCTGGGAGATGTCAGCGAAGTCGATGGGAAGCAGCATCTCCGGTTCGCTGGACAGCCTGAGAGCAGAATGCGAGGTCAGGAGCAGGGAGGATCAGGAGAAGAGAGGATCAGAAGGGAAGGGGAGAGAGGGGAGAGGGGATGACGAGAGTAGGAGATGGAGAGGAGTGTACTGGAGGGGAAGAGGAGGACAGAAGATCAGGTAGGGAGGAGGAGCATCACCTTGGAACCACCGCAGTGAGTTGCCTGATGAAGTTGGGGCTGCCCTGCCCATTTTCCGCCTTGAAGAAAGCGCTAACGACCATGATCTGTCGACCTGTCAGGCGGGTTGCAGAGGCTCCCTTGGGTCTCACCTTGCTCTTTGCCTTGGGGTCATCAGTCTTGTGCACGAAGTGAATTTCCATGTCGTAATGCTCCCCATCGATGGTGTGCTCCGATGGTGTGTGGATGTGAAACTGCAAGCCTGTCAGTTCCGAGAGAGGAAAGAGGCAGGGAAGAAACAGAGGAGGGAGGAGATAGCAGGTCAAAGAGGCGAGCTGCCAAAGGACCTGGCTCAACTTGTATAGGATCCCCTGGAACTGCATGGTCGCTGCCACATGCTTGACCTCGAAAGTGTGTCCGTTGAAGAACTCGAGGCCATCGACGTCACTTGCCTTGCACCTGCACAAGAGCGTGTCAAGGGAAGGCAGAGCTGGAGAGTGGCCTTCTACCCCTTCACGTATTTGTCGTAGCTGTCGACCGGGATGTTCCATCCGAGCGTGTCGGTACCAGCCTTGGAGATGAGGTCTGCTGACACCACATTGATGGGAGATTGCTTCTTGCCATCCTTGCACACTGCATACTTGGCATCGCAGATGTTTCCCCATTGCTCTGCATACGTCATCACGGTCAGAACGCGACATTTCACACAAGATGCCATCACCAGGGCCGTCAGCGCCGGAGTAGGACCACTGACATTCCTCGACGTGGGCAGGGGCAGAGGATGACTCATACTGCTCGACTACACTGCCGTCTGCTCCGGGAGGTCCAGGGGGACCAGGAGGACCCATGACAACCTTCTCTCCGCTCTGACCGGGGAGGCCCGGGGGTCCTGGGGGCCCGGGGGGGCCGGGGATCACTTTTATCTTCACTTCTCCCGGGGGTCCCTGGGGGCCTGGCAGGCCCGGAGGTCCGGCAGGTGCTTGTACATTTGTGACGATGCTGTTTGCTGTTTCACAGGGTGTCAAGCTTCCAGCTGGGTCGATGCAAGACGTGGGTGCAGGAGGAGCTGGGATGGCCTCAACATCCACATGTGCAGTCCCGTGAGTGAACGGGTTAGGGTACTCGTCTTCACAAGGAAACTTGAAGAATGCAATCTCTCCCGTGACCTGAGACGCATCAGTATTTTTACAAGGTAGAGAGGTCAGAGAGGACCTGATCTTGAACTTGCAGGTGGTCAACAGCATCGGTAGTGCGACCACCAGATCCAGGTTGATGGATCTTGTCAGACCATACGCTCCCATATGAACTCCAAGACCTGAGTGAAAAGTGAGCGGAGGTAATACAGAAGCCGATTCATACTTTTGATAGCCATCAGAGGCATGGAGGATGACCTTGAGCTCATGGCCAACAGCTCCCATGATGCTAAGGAAGTAGTAATCTTTCAACCCTCCTATGCCGTCAATCTGCAGCTCATAGTCATGTCGTTATATCTCAGCATACGTCTCCTCCACCTTGGACAAAGAAATGCTTCCGCCTGTAGGCTTGCAATAGCCATTTCCATCAATGCAAAGGGCGCAAGATTCTGAAGCCTTGGCTCCAAAGCACGATTGTTTCGAATATCCTAGCCCGGTGTACTGTCTGGGGCACTGGGGTGGAAAAGTGCGAACATGACCATCCCCTGTCCTTAATTTTCCTGCCTCACTTGCTCTGCATGGCCATTCAAAGTATGCGATCTCCCCAGTCATCTCGTCTTGCACTTGCAAGAAATCGCGGTTCACGTTCCTCTTACTTTTTCCGTTGTTCTGATGAACTTTGTCTGACCAGATTGATCCATATCCAGTCCAATGGCGATGATATCCATCTTCACCCTGCATATGCCAGTCAAAAAGCAGCAATCCAACGGAACTCAAGTGCCTCGAGGACGGCAGTCAGCTTGTGGCCAACTTCGCCCATGATGCTGAGGTAGTAGTACTTATCAAGGCTGCTGATTCCATTGATCTTGCTGACTGAGATCGAACTTCCAGGAGACTTTCGATACCTGTCCATGGTCAGAGTCGTTCGGAAGGGACATTGCAAGGGTTACCCTTCTCCGTTCTCATCGAAGCAGGCGGCAGCAGGCACCTCGTCCTCGGAGGGCTTGTGTGCGTTCGCATCAATAGCTCCATCACCACAGGGAAATCTGAAGTAAGCCAGCTCGCCGGTCTGCATGTCTTGGACCTGAAAACAAGCGTCATCACAATAGAAGCGCTAACTACCAATCCCGCCAACCTGAACGTAGTCGACGATACCATGTCCGCGAGCATCTTCATCGTGCACAGGGCCAGTCCACACACTGCCGTATCCCTTCCAGTCTCGATGATACCCGTCAGATCCCTGGAGGCGTCAGCTTAGTGTCCATGTCAGACGTCCAAGAGACGCGAACCTCGATGTAGACGCTAAGCTCGTGGCCGACCGCCCCCATCACACTGAGGTAGTAATACTCTTCCTTATTACCAAGCCCATTCACCCTGGATAGTGAAATAGATCCTCCTGTGGGCTTCGCGTACCCTTCGCTGTCCAGACAATACGTGGTTGGATCCACCACCGTCAATCTCTGAGTGATGTAAGCCCTTGCCATGGCCATGAACGCAATGCGCTGCTTTCCTGAACGGATGGACTGCAATCTAGTAAGTCTCTGTCAACATTCGCACACTAAAGGATATCACCTTGATGCCTCCATTCGCTAAGAGAGCAACAAGGCCAACGGCCATGGCGATCAGAACCAGGGAACCAACGAAAGCCAACCTCCTGCCATGAATTCAACAAGCTTTGCTTCAACGTATAGTGACATTCACCTTTTCGAACTTCTGCTCTGGGAGTGTACGACATGAAACCTCAGCTCCTCATCCTCTCTTCCCCTCAGCATGGCAACGGATCCTTCCTCCTGTCGCCCCCCCACCGCCATGGCCTGTTGCCTGCCCAAAATAGCACGAATCGAGTCTCACCGCTTAGCTCTTATGTCCCCTACTTTTCCCCTTTTCAAATGGGGTACAAAGACTACCCCACCCCACGGTGTTAAACTCTGTCTCTCCAAGGTCCGGGGACCCGGCGGGCCTGCCGCAGTCACCCGTGCCGCTCAGCGCGGCCGGCCCGGCGAGCCTCGGAGCGCGGCCCGGCGGCCCGCCGCCGGGTCCGGCGGTTGGGCGGGCGGACCGTACGCGGCCCGGAGTGGGCCTGACCGTCCTGATCAGAGCCAGTCCGATCGCTGCCGACATCCCTCCTTCCTCTCTCCGACCTCCTCGCTTTTTCCTCCCTTCCTCCCTCCAGTTTTCTCCCATGTGGAATCCTTGAACAAACACCACGGTGACATAGCTGGTGAGCCACCAGGCCAGTTTACTAGCTGAGCGGCCCGGCGATCATTCGAATGTACTAGTCACTAGGCTTCTTCTTGCTTTTGACTGCTGGTGCACATCATTCTCTCGGTTCACAAGTGTGACCTGCCAGGCTAAGACGAGCCTGAGATTCACTCTGCACGGATCGTTCTGGTCAAGTTTCAGTCTTGAAGTACTTCACTCTTGTCGTCTGTGTGTTCTTTCTTGTGTTTGGTCACTTGGGTCCATCAGGCCCAGTGTAACGAATCGTCAGGTCACGGAATTTGATGGGCTCGAACAACAGCCAACACAGGGATTTGTCCAATCTTAGATTCATGTTTTACATCAGCTTCTTCGCCTGCGTAAACAAACTTGGTCAAGTGAAGGCGCAAAAAAACAACACAGGAACCATGAAATAAGTTCTCAGATAGGTCAGATTGCCGAGGGAGATGACAATCATGGCAACAATCTGCATGATGCTGCACCACTGCCACAGAAATGAGCGTGTGAGATCAAAGATAGACTAGGACAAACCTGGGCTCTCTCATGTGTGGACTTGGTGGTCTCGTAAAACCTTGACTCTCGTTGCTTGAAGTATCGCTGCTGCTCCTGCACCTTCGCAAGCCATCACCTCATTTCAGTTACGAGCTTTTCCTTACCCTCGAGATCTCGTCCGACAGTTTCCTCACCCTCAGCTCCATGGAGCTCAAATGATCTCGCCTCAGCAACGCATCATTGTTCTCCCCTGCCGTCCCAAGCTGAATCTGTATGTAGACGCGGAAGTCTTGACCCAGAGTTTGTCCATCGATGCTGCCCATTCTCGTCAGAGTACTGTACAAGGCAAGAGCCGCGAGCACAAAGCTCAAGAACAACCTGAAGCACAGATTGTGATCCCCGTCCTCGGAGGAAGTGAAGGCTAGTCTTCCTTCCTTGTCTAGCTTCGATTCGAACACTGTCCCGCTCGCACTCGAGGCCACCAATTTCACTCCAACAAAGTTTTGCACTGCTGCCTCGTTGGCTGGGAGAGCGGCCTGATCGGGCGACCTGTATATAAGGAGGACTACTTCGTTCTTGACGATGTTTTCAATGAAGCACTTGGTCTGCTTTTCCCGAAGTTTTATGTAAACCGCTGATGACAGTTGCGCTTGAAGGATCACAATTAATGTGATATATTTGAGCCAATATTCCCTCCTGCCCAGCACAAGTTCGGTCATCCTGCAATTGAATCAGCATTATACACCAACAACCATTTGCCTCAATCTTCTACATCTTCATCCGATTTCTTCTTATGGTTTCCTTATGAGAATCTTCTTGCCAACCTATCCTTCACAAAACATTTCCTTTGCATGCTCGTGCTTATGCATGAATCCTCCCCACGTGCCCCTGCTCCTTCTCTTTCTCCTCCTCTTCCTTTTTCTCTTCCTGCCTTCTCCTTCTCTTCTTCCTGCCTTCTTCTTCTCTTTCTCGTGCCTGTGCTCCTGCTCCTGCTCCTGCTCCTGCTCCTGCTCCTGCTCCTGCTCCTGCTCCTGCTCCTGCTCCTTCTTCTGCTCTCAGTGTTCATCTTGATCTGCCACTGCTTCTCTTGATGTCCTGCATTTTCTCAGTTCGCTGATCTACTTGGTCCAGCATTCCTTGTGCACATTTCGACCCCTGATACCTACCACATAATGGTTGTACTACCCACAGTGTCGTGGATATGACCCCCTCGTTGATACCCTACCATACATTTCTGATGAGCAACAATGCGATATGTATTGAATTAATACACCCCTACCCTATGTTTTGACACCATACCCACAATGATCACCCTACCCCATGTTGGATTCACCCTACCCGGACAACCCCCTTCTCCATCATGGCGCATGCAGGTCGCAGGTGGCCTGAGAGCGGCAGGTGAGAGGGGGAGGAGAGGGGAGGAGGAGGAAAAGGGAGTAGAGGAACAAGAAGAGAGAAAGCGGAGGTTCCACGAGAGGACGAGCGAGAGGGATGGAGGTATTGATGAAGGACTGATCTTTTCACAGGCGTGTCACCAAGCCTTTACAGTCCATATCGATTGACCAGGTTCATGCTGCGATCTTGTCGACCGAGCATGCTGAACATCATGACAGCAAGAGTTCCCTTCATGGGTGCGCCAGTGCGACCAGGATTTCAAGGATAGGAAGTGCTCTTTCACCCACGAGATGCGAACTTTAGAGCAATGGTTGCATTTCAGCGTTGACATCTGAGTGGAATTTCTGATCGGTTTAATCAGGCAACGCTACTGCGAACTGAGAGAGAGATCGCCTTACAAGAGGTTTGAGACTCTCAGTTTGAGGGTTGACAGCGCAGCTGAGATGTGAATCAGAGTTGCATGCTCCAAGGATTTTGTCTTCCGGGCGATCTTGCCCAAAGTCGACCTGTCGAGCATGCCTGAAGTGTGTTCACTTGGTGTTCACTCTCTTCGGCTCATGCTGATTTTTCAGGAGCTTTTGCGAGTAGAGGAAGAAAAGCCCAAGAAAAAGCTCAAGAAGGCTGCTGCTGACAAGCCACAAGGGAGGCCTCGCCCTCGGGTTGATCGCGGTCGATACCTACCTCGAAGAGGAGGAGGAAGGGGAGAGGGGTTGCTCATATTCATCTGTAGGTTTGGCGCTCGATGAGGCAGCAGCTGCTCTGTTTGGAAATGATGAAGCGCTGGATGGTGGCGAAAATCTGCGGCCAGAGGAGCAGGAAGGAGACGGTCGAGGAGAGAAAACAACTGAAGATGGCGAGAAGCAAACGAGGGAAGGCGAGGAGGAGGATGGAGAAGATCTAGAGGACGAGGAAGATTTGGAGATGGACGACTACGAGAATGCAGGTTTGACATTCTTTGTTTGTTGCTTGTGTCACCTACTGCTTAAATGACGTATTCCTAGCTGAGCACTGTGACGACGATGAGGATCTAGTGGATGAAGGAGGAGGAGGGTGAGACCTCGCAAGTGCAAAGTTATGCCTGGTGCTGAAGTTCATGGCAGATCCGACGATGAAGAAGCACGATACGGAACCTTCTAGCGAGCGGATCTATTGCAGCTACCTTGTTCTTCCAGACACTTCATTTTTTTGATGTTTGGGTGAGGTTAAATTTCGGTTTACGCGCGGAATACAGCATTGATAGCCATGAAGGATAAGAAAATGATCCCGAGCTGATGACTCTTGCTCTTGGATCCTCCATTGCCTGATCAACGCGTCATGCACTCATCATGAAACAACACGATTTCACATTTGTCTTTGTTGCAGAGGCAGAAAGAATACTTTCCGTTCACCTGGAAACCATGGAGTGAATATGAATGACACATGAGCGAAGAAAGGTTTGCATATGACGATGCAGATAGGCGTGAAATCGATCATGAGGAAAATAGTTGTGACGATGAGTGATATTGGTGGTCATAATCTTTGAGGAGGAAGTGGTGTTGAAGGCAGCAGTCACGAGGAGCAGTGTTGCCTTGTCCATTGGTGGAAAGTGGAAAGGAGGAGCGGGGAGACTGGGGAGAGGCCGCAGCGAATTACTTCAGAGAAGCTCCCGTCTGTCATCCTCTTGTAGTTGTTGTCGGTCATGGAGAAGCAGGAGAGGTGGTGCGAAGGGTTTCCTGAACATCCGCCTGCTAGATGTCTTAGTCTTCATGATAACTACCTCAGTTTGCACCTTTGTACCTGCATCAGTGTAAGGAGAGAAACACACCGAGGCTTTAACTCACTGAGTAGGCATGCCTTCCTCTTCAAAGATCTCTTTGATGCAGGCGAAGTTGGTTCCATTCATGCACTTCTGGATGGGACCGTTCAGCGTCACCTGTAAGCCATCATCAGCGTTTGGCTCGTCTGCCTTGCATTTCTCACCGGCCACCGTGTTGTTGCTGCGATCTCAACGGGCGATTTGATATGCGTGTAACATTCAGTTACAGTTCCTTGAACTGCAAATGCTGCACCCAAGAAAGAAAGGAGTAGCAAAGGAAAATTCTGTGAGAGATACATGAAACGATGATCTTATCTGCTCTGATATTCCATGAAAGGGCCTATCGTAACTTGCAAGCTGCTCGCCGGGACACAAATGGCACCTTGTCAAAATGAAGCGATCAATTTTCATGTCTTTTGCTTGAGTACTTTGTAATGAACACGCAGAAATGCAGAAGACTAATGAACTTGATGGACAGAATGTTATTATCTAAGTCAGATGAACAAGAGCCGGGTCGTTGCATATATAAGCAGAAAAGCAAATCAAGGAGCAAGAAGTTTGGACCAGGAGGTCAAAAAGGAGACATTTTGGGGAATTAAACAACGGAAGGGAGGGATAGAAATAGGATGAAAAGAGGTGTCTGAAGTCAGGAAAGCATCAGAGAGGTAGGAGGGCTGGAGGGAGGAGACAGTCAGAGGTAGCAGCGTGAGGAGCCACCATTGCCGCCCGGCATGAGCGGTTTGACGTTCAGTTGTGATAAGGAAATTGTTTCCAAACTGATCCGATCTATAGTAAAGTTTACTTATATAATTGGTACAGTACAATGTTTAGTTAAACATTGAGGATGATGGCATTTTATTAGTGCTGATGTGCCATTCCAAGTTCAGAGGAAAGGACAGGCCGTTGTCCCAGTAGGAAAGAACATGTCCTTTTGTGATATTATCGTCAGGCCGAATGTGGAGCCTAGTGATTAAAGTACCCTCAATGTTCCAGCGGCCGCGTGATCCTTGCAGCCTGAGAGGGATGAACATCCATCAGCAGTGAAGCATGAGAGAGGATAGAAGATGGATGAAGTTTAACATGTAGATGGAGGTAACTGATGAGCCTGCAGTTCGCACTCAGAAGGAAAAAAACAGCTGCACACCACGGGAGACTAGAAGATAGGTTCTTCTAGCTTGTTTTTGGATGTCGAAGCAGACAAGCAAAAGAGGGGCAGGTTTGGTGTATTGATTCCATGACACACGTGTCTGATGTACGAGCTTGTACGAGCTAGTATGCTGACAAGATAGAGAGGGAAGAACGCGGTCAAGGGTGGGAAACGAAGTTGTTTGAGAAGTTTGTGCCCAACGATCCTGTTTCCTGGCGCTGCAAGATCTGCAAGTGAGTCGCAATGGAGGAGCATGACAAGTTTACATCCTACAATCTCAACGACCCAGGAGAGGCGAAGCTCGTGATAAGTGAGAGGAGGAGCAGCCCAAGTAGAAGCTGGAAGAGTGTGAGCGGCCTAACTACGATGGATCCACAACTGGGAGCGCAGGAGCAACTGACGACCTTCGTGAGATGGGTTAGCGTCCATGTTGTGATCGACTCCATTGCCTGAAAGCTCTGCGTGTTTGACAGCGAGTCCAGCCAGGAAGGCATATCCAGGGATCGTTAGAAGGATCGGTGACGCCGATGAAATGGATGTTGGCTCTGCACAGGAGCTCAGGCAAAAAGTCGATGCGAAAGTTTCAGCAGTCGAGGTACCTGCGTCAACAGTCAGTCCCACACGCGAGAGCTACGAGGAAATACTGCCACTTGCACGGCTGCTCTAAACATGTCCAGTAGGCTCCAGCAGTCACGCAGTTCTCTCCAGTGTCCTCCAGTTGTAGGCAGCAGCGTCACTGGCGCAGAGGCAGATGTCCGGGGGTGGATCAGCACACTCCCAGCATGTTAGCCGAGAAGAAGAGAGAAGACTGTAATTCACTCGCGCAAAGGGCACGATGATGATATTTCACAGCCCCACAGCAGAAAATGCGACGAGATGGTTGCAGTCAGGTCAAAAGCAGACTCATTCATGACAGCTCCAAGCTCCAACACCACAACTTGGATGAAGTTCTCGACGTGGGCATTTGGCGCATTAGGGTCTGTCCTGAACAGCTGGAACACATACCGGTTGGGGTCGGATCCCAAGACAAAAACAACAAACACAATAGCGAAGCAGGCTATGACTCCGTTTGCAGGAAGATTTGAGCTAAATGCCCTCAATCTGATCTGTCACGATAGAAACTAGATGCCCTCAATCTGATCTGTCACGATAGAGACTAGCAAGACTCCATTCACCGTGTAAATCTTCAACATCAGCCTGGTACGCGAATGCCATTAGCAAGAGCGTAGGAAAAAAATCCAGGAGCTTGGATGACGATGATGATGATGATGATGATGATGATGATGATGATGATGAAGAAGAAGAAGAAGAAGAAGAAGAAGAAAACTGGTGAGAATTGAATTGAAAATGATAGCTGATGAGCAATCACCAATGAGCATGCCAAAGCCTGGTCTCATACTATTTTGGCATCCTATGTCAGCTTGCATTGATTTCGTTCATACTTCTTTGTTTGAACGCAATCCTTTCATCACTGCTGAAACTCTTGTGGGCTTGTTCAGTCCTACCTATTCATCTCTGGTGACTTTCTTACCCTTCGATGTTGCTCTCCATCTTGATGCCCAAGCTGCTCGTTAAAACTGCCATGACCCAACTACCCCTTCATCGCGAAACTTACCAGATCAATCGCCGATCGTAGGTGGGGTAGGGTGATTACTTCTTTGTGGGGCCTTTACACGAGCGGCCTGGAGGGGCATGGCGGGTGACGGATCTGGCGGCGGCTTGATCGCTTCTACCCACAAGCAACGGCAACGAAAGAGTCTGCAGGCACACTCCCCAAGTCAACAGCTAAGCTCGTTGACAGACTTGCAGAGGATCAGTCACGATCGGTTGGACGCCATCGACGAGCTTATCGAGGACTTCGAAACTAAGTCCCTCTTTCGCCCTTCTTTCGCAGATCCTGGTCAAGCACGCGACGCTACAATAGACGCTCTGCTGCAGATGGTTGACGACAAGGTCAATCGAGCATCATCATACCTTAGACTGTTCGGAACCCTCTTTTTCTTCACCGCGTTTGTCTGGCTCCTCTATCGTTCTAGAGACATAAGCACGCAGTACCAGGTTGAACGATCGTTCCTAAATCTGCTTCAAAGTACTCTCCCAAGTCAAGGAAGAGGTGGATACACGAATTCGGATGGCGGAGCTGCTGGGGTACTGCAAGCCTCGAAGGACTTCTATTCCTTGTTTTCGGGTCTCGTTGTTCAAACAATCTTCAGCGATCCAATCTGTGGCGACGGTGTATGCGACTCACCTGATGAGTTTCCCGGGTTCGGACGCTTCGGCTGCCCTCAAGACTGCGGGGCATACATCAACACCACAACAATTCAGATCAATCTCAAGGACGTGATTGGAACCAGTTCCGAATCGATAGGAGGCGACGTCTCCTCCATCCCATCCATCGTTGAAGCCAACAAAGCTGGATTCACGTACAACATTTGGAGCGAGAGCATTCAAGACTTTCTCTTTGCCAAGGATCAGAACGCTACCAGTACGACTGTTGAGGTGCCAGACGGAAAGTATTCCCTGGTCAAGTACCAAACGAAGAAGAACTTCGAAATGTTAGATCGTGCTGAGTTTCAACCTTACCGAGTAGTCCCAAGGTACCTCTGAGGGCATGAAGTTGCAGCCCAGGTGCTTGCTGTCATTCACTAACTTACCTGCAGCACTATTCCCGTAGACGTTACCAAGAACGACTATGCCTTCGGCATCCGAAGCGAGGTCATTGCCTGGAGCATCATCCTTACCAACGCGATGGTAGGGTACTGTCTGTACACACCCGGCAGCGCCTGTTCCTCCCTGTCTATTCCAGGTACTCGCTCGACCTGAGGAGAGGCAGTGATTCTCTACCTCAGATCTTTGGGTACGAATTTTGAACTCCTACGGGCTGAGTGGAACGATTTCAACGACCAAGACGACACTCCTGCAGGTGCTTGCTTTTGAGCGCTTTCCAAGTCCGACATCCTTGCTTCTTCAGGTTCCATATTGCAGCACCTTTCCTGACGCAGCATCAGATTCCAGCTCGATTGCAAACTTGGAGTTTCTGGCGAATGCTTTGATACCTTGTCCTGCCTCCCAGAGAAGGACTATGGCAAAAGCAGCGAATGCCACCGGTCGCGACATTCCGATTCGACGACCCACCAGGCCCTGGACGAGCTCAGCAGCAGGAGACGTCGCCATGACTGACCATAACCCTCGAGACGGTGGGAAACTCTGGAAGCAGAATTTGAACGGCAGAGGCTCGAGCGTACGGGGGGCAGAGGTCAAGCAGCATAGTGTAGAAGCTTCATCGGAGCTCAGATGGTCTTCTCCTGCCCGTGAGCAAACTATCTCAAAGGCTTCAGGTCACATCTTCAGCAGCAGCCTTCAGAGTGACTACTCGCAATGGTGGGTTATTGACTCGGGCGGCTCTGGGCCGATCAACATCTCCATCAAGACGATCTTACCTGCCTCCTTGGGCTACACAGTACGGTATGGAGTCATGCAGGTCGTAGTATGTAGCTGCAGAAGTCTTGAATACTGCATGCTCTTTCCCTGCGTTCCAGAAGTCAGCCTCTCTGGTATTTCCATCGAGCAACATGTTACTGTGAAAGGAGGCTCCGCGCGAGTTGAAGTTATCAACTCCAACGGAGTCGGATCTATCTGCATAGGCTGGGGAGGAGATGACTGTCCATCCCGTCCTCTACCTCCTAAGTGGCAGCTGTCAACACCAGAGCTGAGCCAGGATTGCTCAACTGCACCAACAGCCCACCTCATCTCCTTGATGACTGAGACCCCAGGCTCGACTTGGAGCTACACGTTTGCCACCTGTCAAGATGGTTTCTGCTCGTCTGAACCTATCTGCGAGGAGGGGAAGATGCTACAGAATGGAACAAGGGAACTTGCTTACAATCTCAACGCAGATCGAGACGGATCAAAGTATTACATCGTCGCGATCTCATGCATACACAACGTGTCAAGCGATTATCTCTTCGCTTCTCTCTGTATTCGTCCTCCCCCTATTGTCTCCTTTTCTTTGACGGGAGTATTCTTAGCGGGAGTTGCTTCAGCAGCCTTTGAGCTGCTGCATGCCGCATTTTCGTCGTTTTCAGGTGCACCCCATGAAAACATTTTGGTGAAGGAAGCGACGACAGAGCAAGTATCTAACGGTCAGACATTTGCGGTCACGTTTCGCATCTTCAGTCAAAGCAACATCCAAGCAGTTTCATACGCTGACGATCTTGTCAAGCACTTTACAAGCATTCAGACAAAAGTTGCTGAAAGCATATCCAATTTGCAGTTACTGTCCTACAAGATTGATTCACCGCTCGCATATCTGACTGAAGGGGCCTATCCTTGCGTCACACACTATGATTGCTTGGAGAACCTCTTCTGTCAGCAAATCCCCGGCTATTCTGACTTTGGTGTGTGTGCCAGATGCAACTTCTGCACTGATAACTCTGATGCCTTCAACGGAGCATGTCCGCAAGACAAGTGCCCAGGATCCGGCAGGTTCTCGGGGTGCACGGACGCAACTAAGCTGCTGCAACTGATCAATGATAAGTGCTCGGACAACAACCCATTCGAGGTCTGGAGCTACGGTCCTGCAGGCAGGCCTCCTCAAATCATACCTTCCTTCCAGCCGAAGCTGCGCGAAATCACTAAAAACAATCGAATGGTCGGGGCGGTTGTCGTCACGCAGAGGAGGAGTCCGACGACATCGTGCTTGCAGAAGATTGACAGGATGGACGTCAGACAATATGCTGCAACAGTTGACTCCGGAAAGTATTGTCCCGCAACAGGCACCTACGATTCGACACCTTACGGGTATGATCCAAACTTCATGCCCTTCAGCAACCTCTACAATCCCAAGCTGTCCCCAGAAGTCTTTTACGCGCCAAGCGAGAGGTACGTGCTGAAAGATAGCAACGGCAAGGAATCTTTGTCGTTTCCCAAAGGGTTCTATCCCCATGAATATGATCAGAACCGACTTGACACAAACCTTGATGGAATGCTGTCGGACGGAGAACGAAGCGCTGATAGCAGCACTTCAGTGTATAAGAAGCGTTCGGAGATCGTGGAAGGCAGCAGAAGCACCTTCAAGCTTTTCTTCGACGAGAGGCTGACGCAGAAACAAGCTGAGAAGATGGTTACCTTTGCTCAGGACGGTCAGTTTATCGACTCACAGACCTCGGAAGTCACAGTTGAGATTCTCACATACAGCGCAGTACACGGAATGTTCTGCTACTGTCAGATCTTCTTCACTTGGGACAACGGGGGCAACATTGACTGGAACTACATGCTCGACAGCTTCAACGTAGACCTCATCTTGTATCCAAGCCCCCTAACTATCTTCCTTATGCTCTTTGTCATCTGCGCTCTGTGCATCAATGGCTACATGGAGACGATGGAGATTCTCGGGATGGCGAGGAGGTTTCTGCTTAAGAAGTACGTGCTCGACCCCTTCAACTGGATCGATTGGCTGCACTTCATATCCATGCTGGGGACGATCATAACTTGGATCCCTGTGTACCAGGCCATGCACCAGTTTCATCTCAGTCCCAACTACCCCGTCCTATTTTACGGCCCCAATTTTTCTAACTCTTCGAGAAGGAAAACGTTCTTTGATCCTCCGATCACAGCAGACAAACCTGCCCAGGCACGGTACTTTCGCACGGTCAGCAGCAAGGAGTATGAGTTCCTTGACTTCCTCAGCAAGATCCAGAGCATCGCCTCGGCTCTGAGAGTCAACTCTGTGTTCGCAGGTGTGACCGTCGTCATGTTCATCCTGCGCTTGTTGAAGTCAATGGACTTCCAAGAGAGGATGGGGATGGTGACGAGAACTATAGGACGTGCAGCAGTCGATCTCTTCCATTTCCTGATCCTTTTCGGTATTGTTTTGATTGGATTTGCTATCGTTGGCAACGTTATGTTCGGACACTTGTACGAAGTGAGCAGCGAGCGCAGCATATGTACCATCGACTGCTGTAACACTGACTTTGCAGGGTATGAAGGACTTGTCTTCATCTGCAGAGACGTTGATGATCATCCTCGTCAGCTTTGACTCGACGCAGTTCTACTCTACCGTATGTCAATCTGACATGCTGCGACCTGACTGACGACGAGGCTCCCGTAGATGCAACACGCGGCAGGTTCGTTTGCTCTCCAGATCTTCATCTGGTCGTATCTCTTCATCGCCTTCTTTCTTCTCATGAACATTTTCCTCGCCATCCTCGTCGACGCGTACGCGGCAGTGAAGGAGGAGACCCAAGACGCTGACAGCTTGCTGACGGAGCTCTTCTCTGTCCTGCTCAACGAGACCCGAGCAAGGCTTCCTCAGAGCGGAAGGTTTATATCAGATCGGAAGCTTCGGAGCCTTCTTCTTGAGGGCAACAAAAGCAGTCAGTCCGAGACCAACGTGAAGCAATGCATCAATCAGATCATGGACAGCGCCAAAACACTCGTAGTACCCGGAAATGCGCAGATAGACATGCAAGGTCTGAAGGAGCTGCTCAAGCACTGCTCGAACCCCGCGACCGATGGCGGGTTGAGAAGCTTGGAGGAATACAACGACGAAGCGCTTTATGATTTACTTGAGAGATATGGAAGGAGCTCTGTTGAGATCCAAGAAAGGAGAAAAGAGGATGTCAAGCAGCTGTCGGCCTGGAGAGCATGAGGTACAGGGTGAAGACCCTGAGCTCGCGGGTGACTTTTGACTTTCAACAGGCGGCTGATCGCTATCAATCTGTTGCTAGCCGAAATCCGCCAACGGCAGCTGATGATGCTTGAGGCTACTGGGAACCTCAATTCACCAGACAGCAGAGGCGCACAGTGGGCCTGGAGCGCAGTCGAGCTGAGCAGACCTCCCAGTTCCCCAGCAAATGCCGAAATGTATGTGACGTTGACAGTCCTGTCGGCTTCCAACCTTCCCAAGATGGATGTTCTGCGGAAGTGTGATGGCTACTGCATGGTCTACGTTGACGGCAACACACTTCAACCAACTTACAGGACGGAAACAGTCGTTGGGAGCTTGAATCCCGAATGGAACAGCTCGTTCGAGTGGCAACTGTACCCGGGCATGACGATTCTCACTGTCGCAGTCTGGGATCGGGACAACGTGAGGCCTCTCTGATACCTGTTTGATGTTGAAAGCTGACACCATGTTTGATGTTGAAAGCTGACACCATGATTGATGTTGAAAGCTGACACCATGATTGATGTTGAAAGCTGACACCATGATTGATGTTGGAGGCTGACCCTATACTGTTGCAGCTGACTGCTGATGATCTCATTGGAACGGCCTTTGTCGACCTCTCAGACTTGAGTTCGTCTGAGGTGGAGATGAAGCTCGACCTGAAGAATCCTCTGCTGCGAAAGAAGCTGACAGCATGCAAGTCAAGTGTGCTTGTAAAGGTTGGACTTCGATCGAGCTCAGTTCATGATATTGCGAGCCGTCCAATGGCGGACAGTTCGATTCGAATGTAGCGCTAATTGCAAGTCTGCTCCCGATATGATTGCTTTATGTCTGGTATGGCCCCCATGTCCCTTTGCCTTATCCTCCATGAACCTCTAATTCTTCGCCAGATGTCTCAGGTGTGATCTCAAGCCGTAGTTCGCTCCGGATACTTCGAGAGCTTTTAGAGCATGGTCTCCTCAAACTGCAGCAGTTATCGTCAGAATCTGTAGCATTTACAGAAGAACGTGACCAGCAGGAATTATGAAGCAACTTGGAGCCAAGTAGGTCACTGGGGAAATAGGTGTCAGTTGTAGAGGACGAACGACAAGTGATTGGTAATGATTTGACCATTTCATTCGAAAGCAGGGGAGTCTTCATGGCTTGGACTGTTTCCATCCAGTACCAGGGTCTGGCGACGTTTGATGTATGGGACCTCATCTTTCTCCTGCTGGGCGCGAGGGCTTGGGGTCCAGTAGCGACAGCTTGCAGCTCTGCTGAGGCCGGTCAGCTCAACCTCAGCTATGCCGTCGCCGCTTGAAGCATCCTGTCCGTGTATACTATAGCTCTCGTATCATGTACCATAGACATAAGTAAACCCCTACAACGGCAAGTCATGTGCAGCTAGTCGAGGAGATGGGCTGAGGCCATGGCGGCCGAGTGTGAGATGCCGTGGACAAAGAGAATGTCCAAAGTAAAGACTGGCGAGGGGGGGGGGGGGGAGGGGGAAGGCGAGGGGGAGAGATTGGGCGGAGGGGCAGCGGCGGAGGGGAGCAGAAAGCTCTTAACTAAGAGAACCCAGCAATGTGCACGAGTCAATCCAGTACCAGGGTCTTGCTACAAGTATCGGGATCAAAGCTTGAGTCATGGTCAATCTTCGTTTGAGAAAAGTCTAGATTATGACACAGCCACTCCTCTCTACAAGCTAGGATGTAAAGCTTGCAGATCACGACGATGCCGATTTCAGGCCCGGTATGGAGATGCTCGCTCTTCCTGCTGATCGCGACGAGAGTTAGTCTATTTACATGCTGTCTTCGCTCAGAGCAGCTCTCATCTCCAGCTTAGAATCAGCATACTATAGAGCCATTCATGTCGACAAGGTGAATCGCGGCAAGCTTGGACGGAGAGAACAAGGGCAGCCCCGCATCCTCCCGGCAGGTCTTGTCGGGCGAGCGTACTTTGATTTTCGCTGCTTTCTTTGTCGTCAGACAATTTTCACGATGCATCGTAGCAGGTGAAGAGGCAGTGTCATCCGACTCTTTCTCTTGAGCTTCTGCCTCGTTCGGCTTGACTTGAGGAGTTGGAGACAAGGATATTCTCTCATCGGTCCCTTCTCTTTGCCCTGCTTTGTTGGGCTGGTCTTGAGGGGTTGGTAATGTAGAAGATGTTTGCTCAGACTCCTCCTCTTTGGCTTCTATGTCGTTGGGCGACGCTTCATCTAGAAGGGGTGCCTGGACCAAGCCTGAGTAAAACATGAACCAATTGTCGTCCATTGCTGGGGTATAGTAACAGGGATAATGTTAAGACGTGATGGCAAGAAGTCTTGGCACATGAGGAGAGGAGTCAGGCGGGCTTCTACAGAGCAAAAGAGAGAAAGGTGACAGAGCGGGACAGGAAGCAAAAGCTGACAAGGATAGCTTCCCTAGCGCATATCAAAGGACGAAGATTGCAAGTAAAGAAGCAAGAGCGACGGGAATGGTGCGCCGGACCGTGATCTGCTGACACGAAGTATACCACATGTAGTCGGATCTGAGTGTTGCCAAGTTGGTTACACGCGGGGTCAAGAGCTCAAGCTCGGACCGGCACGGCTCAACGCGGTCGGCCACTGCGACCAGGCGACACTCCGGGCCGTCGGACTTAGATAAAAGCTTACAAGGTGCTTGCATGCTTACAAGTTTTCAATGCCAGTCGTTAGAAGCAGAACCCCTGTCCTCCAACACCTTTGGTTTCGAGCTCCGGATATGTCATCACTTGCTGTTTAGATGTTTCTAGACTCCCTAAAGCGCGTCAGCACCACGGACCCAACCCCCGCCGCCTGCAATTCAAGGTCTTCTGCCTCCTACGCTACCTCGTCCTGCCTCCTGCGATAGTACACTCGTGCTCCTACTTCCCGGCTCCCTATCTCTGCGTCTATCTCTCTCCCTCTCTCCCTCTGATTCAGCCTGCCTGTCTCCTCTCCTCATGTGCCAAGACTCCTTCCTCCGTTCTCTCTCTGTCTGCCCAGCTTCGTCGGACATGTTCGAAAGCTTCTACGGCTCGTCTGCTTCCATCTCAGTCGTCTCCAGCCCTGACAACCTCCCTTTCCTCTATCCGTCGTCATCCCAGCCTTTCTGCAGCTGTCCTGCCTTGAGTCCTTCCAGCCAGCGGCTCTCCTCGTCCAAACGCCGTCGCTCTTCAAGCTGCTGTATCGGCGACGTTTGATGTATGGGACCTCATCTTTCTCCTGCTGGGCGCGAGGGCTTGGGGTCCAGTAGCGACAGCTTGCAGCTCTGCTGAGGCCGGTCAGCTCAACCTCAGCTATGCCGTCGCCGCTTGAAGCATCCTGTCCGTGTATACTATAGCTCTCGTATCATGTACCATAGACATAAGTAAACCCCTACAACGACAAGTCATGTGCAGCTAGTCGAGGAGATGGGCTGAGGCCATGGCGGCCGAGTGTGAGATGCCGTGGACAAAGAGAATGTCCAAAGTAAAGACTGGGGGGGGGGGGGGGAGGGGGAAGGCGAGGGGGAGAGATTGGGCGGAGGGGCAGCGGCGGAGGGGAGCAGAAAGCTCTTAGAGAACCCAGCAATGTGCACGAGTCAATCCAGTACCAGGGTCTTGCTACAAGTATCGGGATCAAAGCTTGAGTCATGGTCAATCTTCGTTTGAGAAAAGTCTAGATTATGACACAGCCACTCCTCTCTACAAGCTAGGATGTAAAGCTTGCAGATCACGACGATGCCGATTTCAGGCCCGGTATGGAGATGCTCGCTCTTCCTGCTGATCGCGACGAGAGTTAGTCTATTTACATGCTGTCTTCGCTCAGAGCAGCTCTCATCTCCAGCTTAGAATCAGCATACTATAGAGCCATTCATGTCGACAAGGTGAATCGCGGCAAGCTTGGACGGAGAGAACAAGGGCAGCCCCGCATCCTCCCGGCAGGTCTTGTCGGGCGAGCGTACTTTGATTTTCGCTGCTTTCTTTGTCGTCAGACAATTTTCACGATGCATCGTAGCAGGTGAAGAGGCAGTGTCATCCGACTCTTTCTCTTGAGCTTCTGCCTCGTTCGGCTTGACTTGAGGAGTTGGAGACAAGGATATTCTCTCATCGGTCCCTTCTCTTTGCCCTGCTTTGTTGGGCTGGTCTTGAGGGGTTGGTAATGTAGAAGATGTTTGCTCAGACTCCTCCTCTTTGGCTTCTATGTCGTTGGGCGACGCTTCATCTAGAAGGGGTGCCTGGACCAAGCCTGAGTAAAACATGAACCAATTGTCGTCCATTGCTGGGGTATAGTAACAGGGATAATGTCGAGGACGGGAAGGAAGATGCACAACACACTTCTTTGCCAGGCTGAGCCAAAACTTGAGTTCTTGTTGTTGCAATTTTTTTGCAGTCTTGTTTTCTGGTTTGGTTATCGGTTTGAGAAAGCGTTGAAATCTGACTGATACTCTTTTAGCTTCAGTTCCAGTATCGTTTCCAAGTCGAGCGAGTAACAAATTTCGTGCAAACATCCATTTTCGGATTTCTTTCTCGTCTGGCATTGGATAGCTCAAGTTCGGATTTGTGATGTCTGCATGAAAGTTAGGCCCGTTCAATTGTAAACAGACATTTTCGGCTTAACCTCAATATTAGTTTGTTTATCAGTACTAAACCCGCATATAGAAGTAGCTACTCTCCTTCGCTTTTATCGGAATCTTTTCTTCTACGTAACTTGTTCCTCTTGTATCCTCCTTGCTTCTCCTGCTTCTCTCCCTCCCTCCTTTCATCCCCGCCGACATTCCACGATTCAAAATCAAAATCATTTGATGTGAGTTTTAAAATCGTACACTGCTACAATAAATATGAAACGCAGGACAATGTCCTGCGTCTTCATGCCGTCTTCCTGCGGCCGCTGCTTTTCTTTGTGGCCCGAAAGTATCGCTTTAAGTCAGGGTCCTCCCAGCTGCCGCGCTGCCTCTTCGCCCTCTCCCGCTCCCTTCTTGCCTCCTCCCCTCCCCCTTCCTGCCTCTCGACCCCTCCCATGGCCAACGCTTCCTGCTGCTCCAGGGCCACCGCCATAGCGGCCTGTTGCATGCCAGTCAGCACTCACAGGTTAGAGGGGAAGCAGGAGACTCGCCGTGTTTGGCTCCTCCTGAAGGTGGCAGGAGACCATGAGACTAGCAAGGCGTTCTTGAAGCTCCGCAAACTGCTTCCTGCAGGTCCTCGGGATCAGTCGCTCCTCGCCGAGAGGCTGAACGCCAGCGACTGATTCACCTGGAGGTTGGGCGGGATGAAGGATTGAGGAGCCAGGTGGGCTCGAAGGCTCGGAGAGGATGCTCGAAGGCTTCTGAACGAGGAACAATCTTCTCGACGTCGAAAGCACGCAGCTGGGGAATGTCAGAGACAGCAGGAAAGAGAAAAGGAGGGAAATCAGGAGGGAAGGGGGGGGTGATGGCAAGGAGAAGTGATGAGAGAAGGAAATGGAGAAAGAAGCAATGATTTACCTTCTGGTCGGAGATACCGTAAGAATCTCTCAAGTACTTGATGAGTTGAAGACAGAAGAAGGAGACGCATGCATGCATCAAGGCTCCTTCCTGTTCCTCGCTCAGCTGAACCCCTCTCCTTTGCTCCTCTTCGTTCCTTCGCTCCTCCTCCTCCTCCTCCTCCTCCTCCTCCTCCTCCTCGCTCAGAGCTTGCAGGGCATGCATCGCTGTCGTTCCCCAGGTCATGACGCGCTTGGAGAGGAGGAAGATGCTGTAGAGGGGCCCATCGATGCTCTGATGCTTCAGGTGGGCCAGCACGCAAACGAGGAGGAAGCAACTAATCATGTCCTTCTCCTTGCCCGACCCCAGCGCGACTTCGATCCTGTGCAGGAGAGCGGCGATTAAATTCCGCACTTGTCTGGCGTCACGGGAGAGGAGGAGCAGGGCTGTGGCGAACGCAGCCGGGGGGAGGGGGCGCAGCTTAGCGATGTCCTGGGGGAGGGGGATGGAGCTGGACACGTGCCGGACTGCGATGGCGATGCCTTCGGCAATCTGATTGATCCCGCAAACCCCCCGGTCCTTGTCGTGTAGCCCCATGAGGATGCGACAAGCAGCGCGCGAGGGAGCTTCTGCCCATGCCGAGAGCGCGATGAGGTTGGAGGAGACGCAGTGAGGGGCAGTGAGGCCCCTCCTCAGAATGACCCCGAGCAAGCTCACTGCCTCCATCCTCACCGCCTCCTGCGTTGCCGTCGCCGTCCCGTCCTGCAGTGATGGGAAGGAGGCGGCAATGAAGAGCGGGAGATACTCGTTGGCGATGAACGTGCTGATTCCCGACACCGTTTCATCCTTCGTCTCCTTCCTCTGCCTCGCTCTGCTCAACTCAATGTCCTCATCCTCCAGGTACACTCGGAAGGCCTCCAGCACTGTGAGCTGAAAAAGCTGTCAGCTCAGCTCAACTCGATGACTTCTGCTCGCCTGCGCGACGGATCCCTCCTTGCCCGAGAGCGCCGACGAGACGAGCGAGGACAGCGAAGCGTCAAGAAGCAGCGAAGGCTTTCTCACCAGCATGCCTCCAATGCACTGAAGGGCAGCCCTGCATAAGCAACATGAGAGTGGAGTGCATGGGTATGGGGAAGAAGCAGAAGGAGAGATGAGGGAAAGAGGTGGGAGAAGGGGAGGAGGAGACTGAAGACCTTTTGACAACTTCTTCTGGGTCTTGGGAAAGTTTCTTCGCACAGAGCTGAAAAAGGGAGGTGTGGAGCAACTCAAACTCCTGCTGCTGCTCCTCATTCTCATAGGCGTCGCTCCTCCCTAAGTGCCTGCAGAGGGTTCCTGCCCCCACCAGCGCCGTGCCGACATACGAAAGGTGCTCCTTCCTCCTTCCTTTCGAATACTCGCGCGTGAATTGAACTGAATAAATCATAAACAACTCATCACAACAGCCACTACTATCATGATCATCATCATCATCACCATCATCACCACCACCATCATCTTCACCACCACCACCATCATCTTCACCACCACCATCACTGCCACCACAACCACCACCACCATCATCATCACCATCTCCATCATCTCTATCATCATCATCATCATCATCACCGTATCGTCGGAAAGTTCTGAAGATGACGCTTCTGGTGCTCACTTTCCCTCGAGTGAGCGTACACAGGCACCGTAGCAGACATGTTAGAGTCCTCCTACTCCTCACGCGGTTTGCCACCAGCGCGAGATTCTTCTGCAGTGCAAAGATCGACTTCTCCTCCTCCTCTCCGACTTCTTTTAACTGCAACACACACATCCTAGCGAGCTGAGCAGATGACGACAGGATGTGCATCAGATCTCCGTACCCTCTCGCTGTCCCCTCCTGTTCCAGCATCTTGGGATGGATCACCATTGACGACAGCAGCGAGCCAGCATGCGGTTTGAGGAGCTCGGGGAAGCAGGAGGCCAGGTTCGTGAGCCCGCGGAGTAGGAGGCTGAGCCGAGGGAGATCCGCCTGCTCTTGCCTCCTCCTTCTCTCCTCGCTCTGCCCCTCCTTCTGCACCAGAAGCTCTTCCAGCTCTTCTGGCTCCTCCGACTCCTCTTGTTCCTCATCCACATCTCCGTAGCTGTAGCGCGACAGGGCAGACTGTTGCAAAGTCACCTCCTGCACCAGAGCGTCGAAAATTCTTCGACATCCTTTCTTCACGCTTGCAAACTCTTGGGAGGATATAAGTGGATGCTCGTCCACTATCACCTCCTCCTCCTCCTCCTCCTCCGCTGAATGCATGGGATGACCCTGTCCGATGACTCTCAACGCGCTCCTCAGCACATTCTTCTCCTTCCTCTCTCCTTCAGCTTGCGAGCTTGCCAAAACCATCAGGAACTCTTCGGCTATATTGTCCATCATATTTCCTCCTCCTCTTCCTCCTCTTCCTCCTCTTCCTCCTCTGTCGTGACCCTGGTGCCCTGCAAGAGAAAACCAGAGCTGCATAAGCTCTGCTACTGCTGCTCTTCTCACTGACTTTTCCTCATCGCAGCAGAGCATGCAGATATGTCCGATAGCCTTCCCTGCGTCTTCCTCCACTGTTTCTGTCGCTTGTGTTGATCCTCCTCCTCCTTGCTGCTCGTGCAGACGACGTTGGCGTCGAGAGAGGCGAACGAGCTGGGTGAGGACAGGAAGGACCTGCAATCTGACTTGGGAGGAGACGTCACGAGCACGTTGGAAGATTAGGACGAGGTCTTCCGCTTGAACTCGTGGCTGAAACAGGAGGAAAGCGCGAAGAATGTCCATTGCAGAGGAGCGCAGGAGGGGAGAGGGGTCTTTGAAGCATCTGCTGCGTATGATGCGCATGACGGAGTTTTCGCGGAATAGGAAGGGATCTATCAGCAGCACGTCTCGCACTCCTTTTAGTGCCGCTTGCCGCATCCTCGATTCGCTGCTCTGCTTGTCCTGTCGGAGGAGGAGCTGTAAAAGATGATTCATCCTTCGGGGGAGAGAGAGCAGGAGCCTTCGAGACTCAGACAAAAGAAGGGAGAGCTGCTGTGCATACTCCTCCTCCTCTTCCCGCTCCTCCTCTTTCTCTTCCGCCTGCTGCTGCTCCTTCTCTTGCTCTGCATCATCGCATGGAGAGACCAACCCTTCCTCCCACAGCATGCAGCTCTTGTAGAAGGCGAGCGCAGAGTTGGCCATGGGGTGTGATGAGCCCGTCTTCTGCAGGAACTGGAGGAGGCGAGCCTGAGCGAGAGCTGGAGCAAGATCGTTGAGGAGGGAGGCTTGTTGGCCACGTAGCGGGAGGAGGAGGAGAAGCTCCAGCCATGACAGATCTTCCGAGTCGCCATCATCGTACTGAACCTTCGGCAGATCAGGTTGTATAGAGAAGGGGGAGGAAATACCTTGAACCATCCTTTTCCCTCCTCCTCGTCAGGCTGAAACTTGATGACTGTACCAGAGAACGTTCCCTGCTCGCCGAAGCTTTTGCTCACTCGCAGGCCCAGCAAGTCGTTGCCGTTCTCCGGCCTTAGCTGGAAGACACCGTGAAGAAGCTCTTGTTGCTGAAGGCAACGGGTCACAACAAAGCTCGATGAAAGGAGAAATGGAAGGAGGAGGTGGAACGTAGAGGTCAAGTGTAGCGATGCAAGAGGACGTGGAGAGAGAAGAAAGGCATGAGAGGCAAGGAGGAAGAGGAAGGAAAAATACGGAAACGAGAAGGACGAGAAAGGAACGAGTTGAGAGAAGAGGGAAGAAAAGGAAGAAGGAGGAAGGAAGAAAGGCACCAAGTCAAATCTGTTCTCGAAGAACGAAGAGATTCGTAGTCGTCCGGCTTGTCGCTGTCTTGCGATTTTCTCCATAAAACTTCATAGAAGAAGATGAGAGAGGAATCACAGATTGAGGAAGAAATGGGACTGAGAAGACGCGGAAGAGAGAAGGAGAAGAAGAGGAGTACAGAGTGAGGAAGAAGGTGTTGAGTGTGGAGGAGAATGAAAGCATCGTACCTTCCAAGCATGGTGACAGCGAGATATCTGTACCCTCCTGCTACTCGAGTCGCTTGAGCTCCTGCGACGAGCCAGTCGAGCAATTTCCCCATGGAAAGGAGTAGAGCTTCAGCAGCTGGCCACTGCGAGACAAGATTGATGAGAAGAATCATATGGAGCGACCACACGAGGACGAGGACAAGAACTAAAACTCGACAGAAAGGCAAACGAAAAAGCAGGACAAACCTCGGGATAGAAGAGGAGGAGGAACAAATCTTGCATGAGAACTTCGAATAGGCTTTTAAGCTCAGCGTCCCTAACTTGCCCACGCTGCTTGCTCCTGTCTATCATCCTCTGAAGAACTCTATCAAAGAAGTACTTGCAGGCAGCACAACTCGTCTCCTCTTGCTGCTCTTCCTCGCTTCTCCCCGCGCCAGCATCTGATGGACCTGTATTTCCTTCTTTTTGTCCTCGTTTATCTCCCAGGTCAGCTCTTTCCCTGCTCCTGGTCGAGTTGTCTGCCTTCCTTGTTGTCTGCCTTCCAGTATCCTCTGAGTTTTGACAGATGTTGAGGAGAGAAAGAGTTAAAGTAGAAACACTTCCGCCTGCTCCCCCTGCTCCTGTCGACTTTCCAGCTGTTTGCTCTGATTCATTCCCCCCTCTGTGAGAGGAACACGAGGTGATTGAAATCCGCGGGTAAGAGTAAGGGTCGACATCTACAAATACACAATCATCAGGGCGATTGATAAGTAGACAGGACAAATATTGATTGAGCAAAACCAAGGAGAACAGGAAGAGCGGAGGAGGAAGGGAGGAGGAAGAAGAGAAGGAGGAGCGGGAGCGGTTGAGCATGTCGAAGGAGAGAAGGGATTCGAGGAAGGAGAAGGGATTTGAGGAAGGAGAAGGGATTTAAGGGAGGATGCTCTCAGACCTATTGAGCTCATTTTCTCAAAGATCCCATCGAGCAGGGACTTGCAGAGGAGTGAGCTAGACGAGGAGAGGGCTCCACACAGCAAGGCACAGGAGTGATTCAGCTCCCTCTTGACGAGAGGGGAAAGGCAGGCAAGAGCAAGCTTGTGCATAGCCATCAAGATCTCTTCTGAGAACTTGAAGTTCCTGACAAGAAAACTGCATGCCACCACTGACACCTCCAGGTTCTGCTCGACATCGCGCGAGAAGAGCGAAGATGACGAACAAGAAACTGAAAGCTTTCGTCGCTTCCTAGCGCTCGGAGAAGCTTCACCGAGCGAGAGGTCGGAGCAAAGAGCAGAAGCAGCGGAATGAAGGCAGGACAAGGCTTGCAGCATCAAACTTTCCTCTCTCACTGCTTCACAGCTCTCCTTCCGGTTGCAGCACAGGCACAAGAGGAGCGAAGAAGCATTGGCAGCCAGCACCAGCTCCTCGTCGAGTTGCCGGTCAGCATCGGATACCGAGGCCTCCAAACAAGACGAGAGGGTGCAGATGAGATCAAATAAGTCCAAGTCCGTGAGGAGAGAGAAGAAACTTTCGTCGAACTTATTCTTTGACGTTACACACCCTGATCGCATAATCTGTGACATTTCGCGGATGTGTGTGCTTGAAGAAACATCCAGCAGCAGGTGATTGAAATTATTTGCAAGAGGAACCATCCTCAAGTTGTCATTCTGTTTACATGATCGGGGCGTGTGGCGAATGATTTTAGCTGAATTCTTTAACTGCCTTTCAGGCACTGATGCGGCTGTATCCATCGCTTTCAGTCGAATTCTTTTTTGATTCCCATCGATCTCAACAATGATCTCCTTGGCATAGAGGTCAATTTCAGTATCTCCTGCGATCAGTATGTCCCTCTCCTCTGTCCTTTCATCATGCTGCACATCTGTTGCTGCCAGCAAGAAAAAGCGCTTCATAAGCCCTGTGGCATACGGAACCGCGCAGTCGCTACCATCCCATCGCACCATGCACAATCTGCCATCCTCACGAACTTCTTCGATGCTTCCGATCTTATCTCCCGAGGTACTTGACACATCCAAGTGCTTCTGCTCCCACTCTCTTGCCATTGCGGAACTCACCACTCTCATACCGACTGCAGGCTCTACATCTTTGCCCACGACTTTGTCTACCATGGTGTCTCTACGGTCTTGTATGGAGGGGGCTCAGGTTCTACACTAGCTGGGTGAGAATAGCTATCTCATCGGCATCTGCTCGTTTCTCCGTGCTTCGCTCTTCCCCCTCCTTCAATCTTCCTCCCGATCGCCGTGTGCAATCTTTTTGGGGTCCATCCGTTTCACCTTAGAGTGGACTCTTGGTACAAATATTAAAACTAAACTGTAGGAGAAAGATAAAACTCAAGTACAAATTTACTTTAAAATTATTTTATACAGTGATTCAATGTTACTCAATGAAACATTCAAGTTGTTGGAAGTTCTGTCGCAAACTTTAATAATAAGAGTCGAAAGTTTCGAAGCTTTGAAGTTTGGTGTCGCATTGGACATTCAAGGACAACAGAAAACTTTCTGCGAGGTGGATAAAAGATCAAATCTTCTAGTAAATTTTGATGTAGGTTCTCAAAATACATTTAATATTTCGAAATTTTCCTGAATGCCTTGAATAAACATTTCAATATTGGATGGGTGTCTACACACTCAGCGGAAATTGCACGGCGAGGACATCTAAGCTGCGGTAATGGCGGCGCTCATGCTGGCACTGGCAGCAGCATGCGCTCCCCCCGCGTCCGCCTTCCTCCCTTCCTTCCCTTCCTCTCAGGTCAGACTCAAGCCAAGTTTCAAGATGGCTGCCACAAGCACGGCTGCCGGCGTCATCAGGTAAGATATTGAATTGTTCTTGCTACCTCCGCTGGCGGTTCACAACGGCTGATTTGCCTGCTATCAGAGAAGCTCGCAACGTGAAGGACATGCGATACAATAAGCTAGGAGACTCTGATTTGATCGTCTCAGAAGTATGCCTTGGTACCATGACCTGGGGGAAGCAGAACACGGAAGAAGAGGCTATTCAGCAGTTGAATACGGCTTTCGACGACTTCGGGGTTAATTTCATTGACACAGCAGAGGGGTATCCCATCCCTCTGCAGCCAGAAACTTCGGGGGCAACCGACATTATCATCGGCAAGTGGATGAAGCAACGGCCTCGTGATCAAGTCATCCTTGCCACAAAGGTGATAAAAAGGATCAAGGGCCACAACTTCAGTCCTGTTAGCTTATCTGTTGCAGGTGTGCGGAAAATCGTCTCGTCTGAAATGGTTTCGAGACGATGGTCAGGGAACACGAGTGACAAAGAAACAAGTGGTGGAGAGCGTTGAGAAGTCTTTGAAGCGTTTACAGGTGAGTCTGAGGAAGGAGGGGGTTTGGGAAGGTTTGCATGAGAAAGAGTTTTGCAGACGGACTACATCGACTTGCTTCAGATTCACTGGCCTGATCGCTATGTCCCGCTCTTTGGTCCCAACAAATATGATATCACCTTAGAGACACCAGCAGTTCCCTTCGAGGAGCAACTGGAGGCGATGAACGAGCTTATTCAGCAGGTATCTAACGTGCATTCTTGCCTGCCGGCTGGCTTGGACCTTATGCAGTTACAGGGGAAGATTCGTCATTGGGGCCTTTCCAACGAAACGCCATTTGGTGTCATGGCTTTTGTCTCTCTTGCTCTGGAGCAGGGGATGGCAAAACCTGTATCTGTGCAGAACAGCTACTCGCTGTTGACCAGGGAGTTCGAAGCTGGATTGGCAGAGGTGAATAGATTCCTGCGTGTTCTTCTCCTTGTCCTTACCATCATTGCTAGGTTTGCTCTCCATCTCATACCAACACAGCCCTCATCCCATACTCTCCCTTGTCTGCTGGGGTCTTGACAGGAAAGTACGACGTTCAGCTGCCTAGCACCAAATTTTCCAACATTAACAGTGTGGAGAAAGTGAAGGCTCCGTTCGAGGGGGACAACTCAAATTGCCGTCTGAACCTCCTCAAGGGCTACAGGGCTCGTTACGAGAGCTCATCTGCTCCTTCAGCTGTTCAGCAATACTGCAAGATCGCTGCGAAGTATGGCCTTACTCCAACTCAGCTTGCCCTCTCCTTCGTCGCCTCCCGCCCCTTCGTGCCGTCCACTTTGATTGGTTCCACTTCCCAAGAGCAGCTGCTTGAGAACCTCAACTCGTTCCAGTATGAGTTCACCAAGGAGATGCTGGAGGACATCGAGCGGGTCCATATGGCCTGCCCTGACCCTTGGAGAACACCCCAGCCTGGAGGAGGATAAGCTAGCGCGGATAGATGAAAGACAGCACTATGCTCTGCAGAGAAGGAAGACAAGAAATGCCCGCAAATGAAACTTGGAAGAAAGAATGCCATGGTTAAGATCAGTCAATAAATTTATTCAAGTACAATTCAGACTCGTGTGTGAGTGAAAGCTTTGACTCTCATATGAAATTCATGCAAATTGGTTGTGACATATCAGCGTAGAAAGGCAGAAGTTTGTCCCCAAACGTGGTGTACAAGTCCTCGTATGCACCTTGTTTCGACTGGTCTGCACTCGCATCTGTTTCCTGAATTTCTTCCGATAAACTATTGTGCGCACTCGTTGGTTTCGCCAATCTTCCCTTCCACTGCCAAAAGAGACATTTCCCGACAGCATCTAACAAAGCTCCACGGACTCGAATCGCCTCGAATCGTTTGATATGGTTCTGTTCAACAAATTTCTCCACGTGATTGCTTGTGGACCTTTCGACCACAAGGTTACTCTCCTGCCCATCCACTTGCATTCCATCTGCTCCTTCACTGCTAGGTCTAGTTCGGATGATTCCGATTGTCACAGAAGCACTTTCATCTCTTCTGTTCACGTCAAACGTGTACTTTTGTAGCAACGACGCGTAGGCTGGAGCGTTCGGCACGATTAGCTGATTCATAGTCTGTGGCCCCAGCGCTGCCAACCCTGCAATAGCGCCGTAGTGAGTGGTCAGAGGCTTGGTGGGCTCCAGGAACGCATGTAGAAGAGTGTTGGTGATGCGCTGCTGCAACGTCGAGTAAGGTGCGGCGTACCTGTCGACGATGAAATTCAAGAGTTTTGCCGCACGATCCCGAAGGTTCCAGTGAGGATCCAGGCTGGACTTGCAAAGCTGCTTGCCAACCATGCAGGTCATGACGGCCGGCATGAGCTCGTGGAGCCTTGGTTCGACATGCAGCTGCGCGTTTGAGAGGATGGCGAGCGTCATAGACAAGAGTGCGTTGAGGATTGGAAGGTCCTTGAGAGACCTCTTGACCTCGTCCGTGATGAACTGAGCAAAGTAGGGAAGAAGAGCCTGCAGACCAGGATCCTTCCTTAAGCTTGACAAGGCTGCGCTCAGGATGTGCGGAGAGCCTTGAATGACAGCAGAAGTGACGTTCTCATAATAAAGCTGAAGCTCCTGGGAAAGTACGTCTTGCACCATGGGATCCTTCTCACTGGTCTCGCTATCTTTCACCTTCCTCTTCTTGCCAGCTGCTGCCACGTCCAAGTTCTCAGGGATCGGGTTCTCTGGAATCAACGGCTGCACGCCATCAATGGCGAGCCAGTGGGCTCTGAGAGTAACTTCAACTGGTGCTTTGGGCAATGGAGCAGACAGGAGCTCGTCGAACTCCAGCTCTTTCTCCTCGATGATAATCTGAGACCCTCCTCCTTCTCCTTGCTTGGTTGTGTACACGATGGGCTCCGGAAAGGTGAAGCCGTATAAGGGCTCGACATTGCGAACCCGAAGCGCGTTGTTGCTGGGACCGCAGAGTCAGACAAAATTTACAAAAAGATATACAAAAAGATCAAGTGCAAGAGCCCTGACGAGAGAGCGAGAGATTGAGGATATGGTGAAAGCATTCAGTACATGTCCGCCGGGGTGAGCTTCCTCCTCCTAGAGTGGCGCTTGAAGTTGAGGGCGTCTTGAATGATCTCCCTTAGTCGGTACTCAGCATCAGCAGCGAGCGACGCCGCGACCTTCTCCCCGACATTCTTCACCCCTGCTGCCGCCGCCGCCTCCTGCACCAAATCCTCGCGGATGATGCTCATGGCGCCCGCCGACGTGAAAGGGATTTTGAGTTGGGTAGGTCATTGCAGAGCGGGTACTACTGACTATAGATCGGCTGATAAAAGGAGGGGTGAAAAGTGTACATAACCATCTTATAGGGGTAGGGGTAAGGGACGGGATGGGGTCATGGCTACGAGCGCCGGACGGGGCGGCGAAGGGAGGGAGGGTGACGATCATCGGGTTTGGCTCGCTCATGGATCCGTCGTCGGCGTCTCAGACCATGAGAGGTTCAAACATGCGCAGAGGAACAGTCGATGGCTTCTGCCGAGTGTTCAACCTAGTCTCCATCATAAACATCGCCAGAGGGTATGCTAAGAACCGCGAGCTTGCGACCTGTACAGCCATGCGCAGGGAGAACAGCTTCCTCCGCGTCTCTCTCATGGACATTGATAAGGAGGAGTACGAGGCCTTTGCTCGGAGGGAGGCACGACTGCGGCATGAGGTGGTAGAGTACGTCTCGGATGATGGGGATCGAGGGGTAGGTGTGATATGCACGGCATACAGCGACGAAGAATATCGCAAAGAGCGCGTAAGGGATGATGATGATTACTTCGAGCAAGTGGGGAAGCTCTACGACGGAAAGCTTTACAGGAATGATCTGCTTCCTGTGCCTAACTACCTTAGGATGGTAGTCAGGGCTCACATGCGCCATGGAGACGATTTTCTCGATAACTTTCTGGATCATTCGTTCTTGGGTGACGGTACAAGGATGCGTGATTACGCCGCATGTATGGAGATAGTATCTTCACTAAAATCCGAGCTCGAAGCATGTTGATATGGTGCTATACATTTCATTTTTTTGTGTCTGAATAAATTTGGACATAGCTGACCGTTCGAACATGGAAACAAAGCGGCAGCTCCCGGTTTATACTCGCATGCAACATCTTCATACATGTCTTGATAACAATTTACGTGATGATGCGCGCACATTCTGTCATGTTGAACAATACTGTCATCTATAGGAGCAACATTCTATGAACAATGTCCCACACCCACATGATTTTCAATGTACTGATCGAAGGTGGTCAAAGAAATCACAACGATCCTAAACTAAAGTAAAGACAGCTTCACCTTCTGGCTGTCTTCTCCTCCCCTCCCTGCCCGCGATCCCTTGACCTACTCCGGTCTCCCTTGTTCCCGTCTCCATGCTCCTCTTGGCAGACCCCCATCCCCTTCCCGCGCCTTTTGGAAGGCCGCTGGAAGGCCGGGCATGGCAGGAGGTGTTGGAGTACAGCTCGCGCCGGGGGAAGGAGGAGCATCGTTGTGCATCGCTGGTGTCAAGCATGGGAGCCCAGCCCATGCCGCAGGGTGATTGCTGCATGCATCTGCGCTGCTATGACGATGCCATGCAGGGCAGAGGAGGGTGATACGATCCTAAGCGTCAACGGGAGGGCGGTAGGAGGGCTAACGGTGGAGGAGGCATGCTCAGTCATGTCTTGGGCGCTTTAGTGACCTCGAAGCAGGTGGCGAAACTTCTTGCTGGACCTGTCGGGACGTCTGTGAGGGTGGAAGTGAAGAGGAGCAGAGAGCGTATAGAGCTTGACATCCAACGGAAGGCAAGTTTGCTACTGTGTCGGAAACGACTTACGGCCGCCATGCTCAGGAACTTGGACCCAGAAGTGGTGATATGGGGTCCGGCCTGCAGAAACCAGTGGCTCCACGGCATTCAAATGTGACCAAGAAGGTCGACAATGCTGCTCATGGTGATGTACATGCGCTGGATCCCCGGGGATGTAATTGTGTGAGCAGGGAAGGTGAAGGTGGAGAACAGCAGTAGACTTGAGGTATGCAGATCGATTTATGACCTTGGTGATGGTCGATGCCTTGATGGCTCTTGTTCTCAGGATATCCTTTCCATGCTCGCTAGTAGCGATACCTCAAGAACCGTGCAGGAGCGAATTGAACAATGTAAACACGCTATGACTGGATGTCAAGAGCTCCCCAAGGAGAGAAGGAAACAGAAGAGGATGGCATCCTTGTTCAAGTTCCTGCAAGAATGGGCCATTGAGCTGGGAGCAGGAGATGTGAAGAGCATTCCAGCAGGTTGAAAAAGTTTCAGCTACTTTCTTTCGTTCTAACTTCCTTGCTTTGCGTCTTCAGAACAGGGAGGAGGGACCAGTGGGGTTATGTTTCGCTGGCAGGGGTCGAATGATCGCTGCATGCTGGCATACCTGAACGTTGATTGTTGTATCGGCGAGGAAACAGCGGATGAGGGGGAACTGAGGAAGGAGAAAGTCGAGCAAGTTGAGGACGATCAGCAGGAATCTTCTGCCAGATCTTCGACGGAGAGTGAAGAATTTGTTATGTTGCAAGGCGTATCGGACGGGTTAATCTCAACCTGTCTTTTCCTGCACGCAATTGAGCTGTACAAGCGAACTTGTACGTGCTTACCGATATCTGTGCAAGCAATCGTAGATGGCGAGTTTGCGTCGGGAAGCAGTTGGCTTGCAAATCCTCAGCTGAAGCTCTGGTGTGAAGACGGCCAACCGCATCATGAAGCACTTTCCCAGCTCCGAACGAGGGGAGGAAACAGGCAGAGGAAGAAGAAGCATGGAGATGGAGGAGATGAGGGTCAAGTGCTCATCAGCGACTCTCCTTCCTTCATCACCATGTTCTCCGCGCTTCCATGGTTGTTCGATGATCAACCGACTGTTTGGCTGGGAGCAGGAGGAAGTTTTGCGGCTGATGTGGAGATGTCGTCTCGTGGCAAGGATGCAACAAGAGGAGGGGAGGTGTACTTGCCGACTAGCATCGCTGCCGGCATTGTCGATGAGCCCATTGCGCGCTTGCCAGTCCTCCTCCTGTCAGTGCTGGAGCGGGACGGGCAGTTGTTGAAGTCATTACAGGGGGAGAGGGAGGCGATTGCGGCTGCCAGGCTGTCGGCTGAAAACGTCAAGGTCATGATGATGTGCTTGAAGCGACACGCTTGTCAGTCCTGCAAGGATGAAGGAGGGGACAGGCAGAAAGGAGAGGTAGAATGGGAGGAGCTCAGCGAAGAGCAAGTCCGCAGGAGGTTGACGGCAGCATGGTTCAGCTGTGACTTTGTGACGGAGAAGGTGGTTGTTGGCGGCTGCAAGGAAGAGAAGGGACGAGGGAGTTTACGGCTGCCACTCGGTTATGCGACCTCCCGCCAGGAGGAGGAGGAGTCAAGTTTGTTATGGCAGCATCACTTTCAACATGGCATGGCCAGCTTCGGGGTGCCTCCGCAGACGGCGACGCATGCGCATGCTCGGATCACGGCCACGCTTCCTGCTGGTTGGGACGCTGACGGAGTGCTTGGAAGTCTGCGAGCAAAGCTGGAGGAAGAGGAGAATGTCAGGGTTCATGGCGCAAAGCAACTGCTTCCTGCCGTCGAGTCAAGACAAGATTCTATCAATGTGAAGGCCATGCACATGTCCCTTCTCCGGACTTTTGGAAAAGCTCCCCTGCTGGCATACAGCAGGTCCGGGGTTCCCGCTGCGAGCAGGATAAAGCAGCAGACAAAGGCTCCGCTCTACTTCTTCTCTCCTCTTCCTTCCTCCAGCTCCTCGCGTCTCATGCTTGCCCACTACCTGGATGGTCTCAGGTGCTCAATGTGCTATATGGATGCGATTTTCCACCTTGTTAAGTGAAATGAATTCAGAACAAATGAAAGGAAGTCAAGAAAAAATCTCCCGCCGTCCTTCCTCTCTTTCACAATCTACTTTCCTGCTGGGTTGGCCTTGTTCTTTGTTTTCATATCTCTTTTCATATCCTCAAAGCAATGCCTAGTCTTCGTATTCTCAAAGCAATGTCTAGCCTTCATACCACTCTCATGTCTAGCCTTCATACCACTCTCATGTCTAGCCTTCATACCACTCGAATCCAAGAGGCTGGGATCCTTCGCCTCGGGGCGCAGGCTGGCCTCCGCACGAGCTCGCGGAAGAGGCGGGACTCGGGCGTGGCGGCGGGGGCGGGGGAGTCGTGGACGGGGTAGGGAGCACCCCTCCCCCCCATCAGTTGCATGCTCAGGATGAGCTCTGAGCGCACGGAGGCGGTGTTCGACGGGTAGCGGATGGGGAGGCGGAACGTGTCAGCCTCGTCTCCGCATGGCCGTCGTCCACCTCCCCGTCACTGCCAACCGCCACACGTTGCAGCACAACCTCACCATCGACGGGCTCCGCTGCGCCTTCCGCCCCTACTCACTGAAGGGCCTCCGGTCCTGCATCCGTCCGGAGGTCAGGGGGACGGGGGAGCGGGACGTGCCGGCGGTCGAGTTTGAGGACGGGGAGGTCGAGGGGGTGGTGGACCCGCTCATCGCGATGCTCAATTCGATGGTGATGCCGGATGGGGAGACCAACATCGTGCCCGATGGCTCCCATTGTCGGTGGAGATGCGGAAGGGCCTGCAGGCGGTGCTCAGGGGGGGCGCCGGACATCAACCTCGCGTTCGACGAGCTCGTGACTGAGGAGCGAGCGCAACGTCCACCGCTTCCTCAGCGGCTCGACCGGCTTGACCCCTCCGACCTGGCGGCTACCGCCCAGCCCAGCGGTACCCCGTTAGTAGAGGCACCGGCCCGTTAGTAGAGGCATGCTGCTCTGCGGCGCACAGGGAGAGCACAAGGGGACCGGAGGAAGCTGCGAGCAAGTGCTTGGTATAGTTCAAACAGCTTTTTAAGTATGGTACTATAGTATGATGAGCCTGAGTTCGCCGTTGAACCTGCTGTATCGGCGATCATGCCAATACACGCAGGGCGAGCGCTCTGGAGGCCACGTCGAAGAGCCGCGCGGCCGCCGACCTCGTCGAGAGGGTGAAGAGCTTCACAAAGCGTTACCCTAACAGAAGGACAGCTCATGCTTGCAGAGCTGACCGGGGGGGATGCACTCCCGATGCTATTGCAGAAAGGAGGAGAAGGGCCGCCGGAAGATCGGGCGAGAGCCGATGTTGAAGTCTTTACTCAAAGTTAAGTTAAAAATCAGTATGAAGTCAGTCTTCCCTTTGTGGAAAGTCAAATCCGAAGCTGTAACGGGTGTAACGACGCTGGGACGATGTTCTGTTCAGGAGTTCTTAAAGGCGGGCTCAGTGAACTTGGCTTGACTGATCCGTACGGTACGGTCATGCTGGGTTTAGGGCCCCTTCCCGAGGCATGCACAGGCCCCGGAAGTTCCCGAGGCATGCACATCCGCGGCGCGTAGGGGGAGCACAAGGGGACCGGAGCCTCGGAAGCTGCGAGCAAGTTCTTGGTATAGTTCAAACAGCTTCTAAGCCTTGAAGTATGGTACTACAGTATGATCAGAGCGTTCGCAACCTGCTGTATCGGAGATCATGCCAATACACCGGCGCAGGGCGAGCGCTCTGGAGGCGCCCGGGCCACCGGCCACGTCGAGGAGGCCGCCGACCTCGTCGAGAGGGTGAAGAGCTTCACCAAGCGCCGGCAGGCGTATCCTGGTAGTAGGAAAGCTCATGCTTGCAGAGCTGAGGGGCCCGGCCGGGCCCGTTAGTACAGGCACCGGCGGCCCATTAGTCCGACACTACAGGCAGACCAAATGGCAGTTGGGGTCTGGGGTGGGTCACACGGCTGGGAGCTGATTCAAATTGGTTGGGAATCGTGACACCTATGTTAGGCCAGCCAAAAGGTTTAGGGTTTAGGGTTTAGGGTTTAGGGTTTAGGGTTTAGGGTTTAGGGTTTAGGGTTAGGGTTTAGGGTTTAGGGTTTAGGGTTTAGGGTTTAGGGTTTAGGGTTTAGGGTTTAGGGGTTTAGGGTTGGGGTTTAGGGTTTAGGGTTTAGGCAGCGCCGGTTATTCCAGGCAGCGCCGGTTATTCCAGGCAGCGCCGGTTATTCCAGGCAGCGCCGGTTATTCCAGGCAGCGCCGGTTATTCCAGGCAGCGCCGGTTATTCCAGGCAGCGCCGGTTATTCCAGGCAGCGCCGGTTATTCCAGGCAGCGCCGGTTATTCCAGGCAGCGCCGGTTATTCCAGGCAGCGCCGGTTATTCCAGGCAGCGCCGGTTATTCCAGGCAGCGCCGGTTATTCCAGGCAGCGCCGGTTATTCCAGGCAGCGCCGGTTATTCCAGGCAGCGCCGGTTATTCCAGGCAGCGCCGGTTATTCCAGGCAGCGCCGGTTATTCCAGGCAGCGCCGGTTATTCCAGGCAGCGCCGGTTATTCCAGGCAGCGCCGGTTATTCCAGGCAGCGCCGGTTATTCCAGGCAGCGCCGGTTATTCCAGGCAGCGCCGGTTATTCCAGGCAGCGCCGGTTATTCCAGGCAGCGCCGGTTATTCCAGGCAGCGCCGGTTATTCCAGGCAGCGCCGGTTATTCCAGGCAGCGCCGGTTATTCCAGGCACCATGGCTGCACGCGTGGTGTAGGGGAAGCTGCCAGGGCGCCAAGGAAGCTGCAAGCGAGAGGTTTGTATACTTCAAATAGCTTTCTAAGTATGGTTCTTCAGTATGATGAAAATGTTCGCAACCTGCTGTATCGGAGATCATGCCAATACACGCAGAGCGGACTTGTGGATGCCTCTGTCCTCGAAGCTGATCTCGTCGAGAGGGTGAAGAGCTTCGCGAAGCGTTATCCGAACAGCAGGACAGCCCAGGCTTGCAAGGCTGTGGAGGGATGCACCCCCGACGCTATCGCAGAAGCCATCCGCTCGACATGTCAGCAGGCACGACGTGAGCTTCTACAAGAAGCGATGGCTGGATGGAGTGACGCATCCAGAGAGTGGTTTATGCAGCAGATTGAAGAAGCCAAGAAGGAGAAGGTCGAGACATACACCGCCTCAGCAGGCAACGAGGTGACTTCCTTCATCTCCATGACTCTCCTGGGCATCTCCTCGGTGTATGTCAACCATGAAGAAAAGCTGAAGAAGAAATTTGAAGAGATCGGACTGATCGTAGACTCAGTGCAAGAGAGTAAAGCAATCATGTGGAAGGCTCCGTATAGACCCGAGATAGCGAGTGCTGAGGAGATCCCGGTGACTGTTTCCTTCCTCCGCAATGCACAAGCGGAGAAGCTCTGGCAGGGAAGAGAGGACTTCGCGATCGATGGTCGCAAGTTCACAGCTGTACATGTGAGCATCGTGCACGATCGATCTTTCAAGATTCGAGCCAAGAGAGGACCCTGGGGCAAAGGGGGCAGCTTGGCAGAGCTGACTCACCTGCTAACCTTGGGCGGCATGACAACGGCTGAGATAGCTGCCGTCTATCGCTATCAGCTGCTGCGCCAGTCCCTTGCAGCGGTCCAACTCCAGCCGCTGGCAGGCATGCTGGTCGCTGGGGCGCCAGGACAGCAAGTCCACAAAGGCTTAGGTCAGAAAGGCTTCATCGCTGTAGGGGCCAACGTCATCTGGAGACAGAGGGAGGTGGAGTGGATCGTCTCCTCGAGCTGCCCAGAGGCGAATGATACAGCATTTCGAGCTTTCCGAGAGAGCGAAGCGATGGAGGGAGTACACCTGACTCTGTTCAGCGAGGACCCGAAGATCAGAGAGGCGCTCGCAGTCGAGTTGACAGCTGATCGCTTTGTATCCAGAAATAAGTTGAAGAAGGCATCAAGGATGCAGAAGAAGGCAGGCGGCAAGGACGGCAAGGAGATCAAGATCATCATCAAGTCGACGGCGGCATCTGGTCGCTTCACGAGGAAGGAGATGGAGGGGCTGTGCAACGGCGGCAACACGTCTATCGCAAGAGTCAAGAGAGTCTTGTTGGAGATCGCTAACAGGCTCGAGATCAACGTTGAAGGCATCGACATGGAGGAGGATTTGAACACCAAGTCCTGGAACGGGTCCAAGCTATGCATCCTCCTCGGCTCCACGGAGGATGCTCGACGCATGATGAAGGAGCTGCCCTTCTATCTCGAAGGCGCAGCCACCAAGCTCGAAGCAGTCGGCTTCGACAAGGAGCCTGACTCTGAGGCGGCTGGTCAGCGGGGCACCAGCGACGCAGCGCAGCGACAGGAGGAGAGCGAGGGAGAGTGGCTGGAGTTTACAGACCTGGAGAGGATCACAATGGAGGCAGCATCTCCGTCAAGCCAAGAGGACATACAGCTCGTCAGCGAGCTGTCAGCAGTCATCGAAGATGCAGCTTCTTTGAACGAGGCGGGGACGAGCGAGCCGATCAAGCTGGTCCTGGACAAGGCCGTTGGCAACCTCCACGACACGTTCTACTCTCCGGGGAGCCTGGAGTTCATGTCGCTGGGAGAGTGGGCGAAGATGCCAGAGGAGCAGGGAGTTGGGCGCAACGTTCTCAAGGAGAAGCTGGGGAAGTGGCTGCAGAGCAAGCGCTGGACTCGCGTGCAAGGAGAGAGCAAGAAGGCAAGGAGGGGCAGCGCGTTCTCGCCACGGGCAACGGCAGCTGCTGAGCTTGAGCAGGAGGCGGAGAGCGACGACATAGAGCGTCGATCTCTTAGCTTCCTGTTCATAGCACTGAGTAAATTCGCAGAGATGCATGTGCTGGCCTGCTCGCTGAAGGTGGACAAGAAGGACCGACTGCGAGTGGAGATGAGGGAAGATGACGAAGAAGAGGAAGACATGGAGGAAGAGCAAGGCGAGGGCGAGGAAGAAGACGGGGCGAGCCCGTACCGAGCTTAAGCTGAGCTCAAGGTAAGGAGAGAAGGTAGGAGGCGACCGAAGGCCAAGGTGAGGAGAGGCAACTCTCCTGACTGAGGCTGAGGAAGCTGAATGGAGGAGGAGTAGGGGGCGACCGAAGGCCAAGGTGAGGAGAGGCAACTCTTCTGACTGAGGCTGAGGAAGCTGAATGGAGGTAGAGTAGGTGGCGACCGAAGGCCAAGGTGAGGAGAGGCAACTCTCCTGACTGAGGCTGAGGAAGCCAAGAGAAGACAGCAGAAGTAGAGAGTAGAAAGACGCCTCAGAAGCAGGGTTCGCATTGTAGGCCGTGTACTCCCAGTGCTCGAGCGCCTCTTTAGACTAGGATCAAATTGCATAAGCCCACAACGAGGCCGAGCAACATTCTAGCATTCTAATAAACTCACATAATAATAATAATAGGGTTTAGGGTTTAGGGTTTAGGGTTTAGGGTTTAGGGTTTAGGGTTTAGGGTTTAGGGTTTAGGGTTTAGGGTTTAGGGTTTAGAGGCGCCGTTATTTTCGGCAGGCGCCGTTATTTTCGGCAGGCGCCGTTATTTTCGGCAGGCGCCGTTATTTTCGGCAGCATGGCTCCTCGTCAGGTG